AGAAATAAATTTTTAATATAATTCTTAAAATACATTAACTTAAAAGGTATTTTTAATAAGATATATACTTTAAATTATATTATTAATAAATGCTTAATTAAAATTAAATTAATATTGCTAAGCGTTAAGATATTTATAATACTTATTTTAATAATTATAATTAAAATTATTTAAGCTATTTTTTCTTTAAGTAATAAGAGTTATATAATATGCTTTTTTAATTTTAAGTTTATTGTATTTATTAAGCTTGCTTTTATTATAAAAAACTTAGTATTTTCCTTTTAGGTTTAATTTTAATTAATAAATAAGTTTTTCCTTTCCCTTACCTTTTTTTTATTCCTTAGCTATAACTTATTATTAATAATTTAAAATTAATTATTTTTTACTTTTTTAAAGTTTTTAAATTAAGTATAATTAATCTTTATAATTTTTATAACTTTATTTTAATCTTTAATATCCTTAATTATATGCTTTTTTTAATTATAATAATATTTATTTAAGAAAGCTTATTATTACTTATAATTATAAGCTTTTTTTTAATATAAATTATATAATTTATAAAATTTATAATTATTAAAATTAAGCTAACTATTTTTTAATTATTAAGCTTTTAAATTACTTTTAAGGCTTTTAATAAGGCCTTTTCTTTAAATAAAAGATTTATCTTAATAAGCTTATAATATTTAATTATATAAGGTAAATTAAACCTTTTTTTCTTAAATAAGAACTTTAATTAGTTATAAATATATTTTTTTAAATTATAATTACTTTAATTATAATATAATTAAATATAAATAAAATTTAAATACTTTAAAAGATTAGCTTAAGTATTTTTAAATAAGCTAAGAAATATTAATAATTTCTTTAGCTTAAAAGCTATTAATAAGTTATTTAAGGAAAGTTACTTAAGCTTATTATATTAATATATATTATGATTTTAAAAAGTATAGCTATAGTAAACTTTAAATAACTTATTTTTTTTAAAAAAAAGCGTTAAAATTATAATATATGCTTCGTTATTATTAAGATTATTTTAATTAAATCCTATTAAAGGTTATTAAATAAAATTTATAGCCCTTAGCTTAATTATCTTAAAATTACTTTATTATTTATTATAAAAAAAAGCTTTAATATTTTATTAAAATAACTTAAATTTATTTTTAAACTTAATTAAATTAAGTTTTAACTTTATAAACCTTTTAATAAATTTATTTATATTTTATAAATCTTAATTATATTTTTTAATAATATTAATATAATTAAATTTAAATAAAAATTATTAAGCTTGTAAGTTTTTATTTTAAAGGTAATTTAAAAAATTAAAATTATTTTAGCTTTTTTAAAGGAAATTTAGCCTTTTTAAATTAAGTAAATTTTAATTAAAATTATTTTATATAAATAAATACTTATTTTGCTTAAAATATTTAAATTTTTAATTAATAACTTTTAATAAAGTATACTTAAAGTTTAGCTAAAAAATATTCCTTATTAATTTATAAGTAATCCTTTTCCTTATTAATTACTTTTTTAAATATAATAAAAGCGTTTTATAAAAGGGTTAAGTTATAATAAAAAAGATATTATTTATATTATTAAGTTCTTAATTATATTTTATAATCTTTTCTTTTTATGCTTTTAAGTTATTATAAAAGTTATTATAAATAATATTTTTAATAATTATAATTAAGTTTATATAGCAAGTTTAATTATTAAATTTATAAAAAGTAAAAAGCTTTTCCTTTTAATCTTTTTAAATAAATTATTTAATAATAATGCTTTTAATTATTTTTATTAAGTTTAAAGTAATATAATATTATTTAAGCAATTTTAAAATTTAATTATTTAAATAAGAAAATTAATAAGTAATAATCTTAAAGCTATTTAAAATCTTAATAATATTAATTTTATTAAACTTTAAGATATTTAAATTATAAATTATAAATAAAGCTACTTATAGTAAAATTATTATATTAATAAAAAGTAAAACTTTTAAAATATTAATTTAAATTCTTAACTTATTATTAATAATAAATTATAGGGTTTAATTAAAATAAGGTTAATACTTTAATTAATAATAAATAAAATTAAATCTCCCTTTTCTCTTAATAGGTTTTTTAAGATTCCTTTCTTAACTTTAAATAAAAAAGAATAAATAGTTTTTAAGGTTTAAAGGTACTTTTAAAATAAGAATAAGTTTAAAAAAACTTTAAGCTTAAAAATATAATATATATATTATAATAATTTTTATTAAAATAATAATAAAATAAAGAAACTTAAAAATAATAATATCTTTAATTAAAATAATTGCTTTTAAGAAATTTATTTTTAATATTATTATAAAATACTTAAATTAAAGTTTAAAAAATAAAGATATTAATAAATATAATAAATAAAATAAACTTAATAAAAGAATATTTTATTAAAAAATAAGAATTATAAGGCTATAATAAAAAAAGCCCCTTAAATTTATATTTAATGCCTTATTTATTAATATTATATTAAATCCTTAGCAAATTAAATTTAAGTTTAATTAAAGCTTAAGCAAGGTTATACTTTAAGTTTAAGTTTTTTATATAATTTAATTAATATAAAAACGCATAATATAATATTATTTATTAAATTTATAAGTAAGCAAGGTAAGTATTTTAATTTTATATTATAACCCCCTTTATTTTAAATTTAAGATTATAATAGCAATAATAAATATTAATTAAGAGTTTAAAGTACCTTTAATTAATATTAAGTAATATTTATAAAGTTTAAATTTATTATTTTAATCTTAAGTTTATATTATTATTATATTTTAAATATAGTTTTTAGTAAAAAACTTAAAATAAGTTTAAAGCTTAATAATATATTAATATAAAACTAAAATAATATTTTATTTAAATATTAAAAATATAAGAAGTACCTTAAAATTAGAAAATAATTCTAAGGTACTTATAATATTATTGCAAGTTTAATTATACTTAATTCTTTTTTATAATAAATTAAAGATAAATATAGGCTTTAATTAAAGCTTTAAGCTAAAATATAAAATAATTTAGTAATATTTAATATAAAAATAAAAAAAAAGAAAATTAATAAATAATTAATTTATAGCTAACTTCCTGTTTTTTTTATTATTAATTAAAAATATATAAAATTAAAATTAGCCTAAGTTAAATTATTAATAAAAATAAGTTACCTAAATAATAAAGAATAGGTTCTACTAAACCCTTTTAAAGGTAACTTAAGGAGGAGCTTTAACGCAATAAAAAAAAAAGATAGAAATAAAAGGGAACTAAAGAAAGAGAAAAGATAAATATTTTAAAAATTCTTAAAAATAAGAAAAGCTTAATTAAAGTATTAAATGTATATAAAAAGAAAAGAGTTAATTTCTTAAAAGAATGTTTAAAATAAGCGTGAAAGCTAGCTTTTTATAGCTAGCCAGAATTTAGCGCGGTATCATTTCTTATGTAATTCCCTGCACCCGCCAACAATATATATAATATTACCTTAAATATTAAAGGTTTTCCCTTAAAAGAAATAATTAAAATAATAAAGGTTTTTCTCAAAAAATAAGCATTACTTATACAGCCTATATATATTATATATATACATAATTACAATATACCTATATTGCATTTATATATGTTTAATTCTATATAAAAAACGTATTTCTATAATATATATAGTATAAATAAAATAATGTATAACTTTAATATATATAAATGCCGTAATATACTATAGCTATTATAAAATAATTAGTGAATCCCATATAAAACCATAATTTAATATATAATACCCTATTAGGTATAAGTTTAAGTTTAAGTAATAGCAAATTTTTTGGTTTTTTACCTATATATATATATATATATATATACTTATATAAGTGAGTTTTTCCCTTTTTATAAGGGTTTCTTATTATATAGCGAATATTCCTCTTTTATAAACTAAATCCCTTATATATAATAAATAAATAAATAAAAGGGAATTAGTTTAAGGGGGGCTGTTGGAATATTCTAGATATTTAGGCTATTATTAATACGGGATATCCTTTTCCCCATATGTTTGCCACTGTATGGAGGATAATAACTATAAATAGGGGCCTTCCCTCCCGTAGAATAGACGTTAGCTAGCCTAATAGACTAAGCATCCAACGCTATTATTTCTTACATGCTGGGGGGCTGCGCAGCCTCTTAGGACTTGCAGCACAAATATCGACAGACACGTAGAAGATGGCATATCACAAAGCGATCTACCAGCTACGTTTCGCGATGCTAGTGAGTCTATTTCTGGTTGTGCGGTTGTTTGAAGCTCTGAAAGCTCTGAAAGCTCGACGGCTGGCGTCTTACACCGATCATTGAGCGGCAGAAGGCATCTCACTGGGGGCCACAAACGAACCATGCCCGTGCTTGATACAGTTTCTCGTTTCAAGTACTAGTAGGCGGGGAAGTCTTTACCGCTCATGGGTCCTTGGCCTGGAAGATACAATGACTAATTGTGAACATTGTCACTAGTCCAAGTGTCACGGGACCTTGGACTTAGATACATATGGATAGACTCCATTTGCATCATTCAAGACGATGAAAAAGACTGGAAAGAACAGTCAGCCCAGAGTAAGGACTTCCTCAACCCGCCGCCCGATTTTTTTCCTTCATGGCCTACTGAAACCGTATCATCTAGTGGCGTCTGCATACAGCAACGCGGACCTCGTGTTAGCAGCGGCCAGGGCCTCATCCGCCGATGAGGGGTTCCTTCAACAAAAGAGACTCGTCAGGGAGTCATCGATTGAGATTCCGCCAAAATCAGGCATTGGGTCTTCGATTCATGTGAAATACCGTCTTGGCCCTCTATTTTACTCGGATTACCACCAAGACAATGATCCCCTCAACTGGGATCCATTTAATACACGAGGATGGGCTTTGCAGGAGCGACTCTTGGCCAGATGATATTTGTCCTTCGGGCGCCGTGAACTATCTTGGGAAGTGAGCCAAGTTCTCCAAGTTATACTCAGGATGCTGGCCGAGGACGATCCGAAGACCAATGCTGCGTGCTACATCAATGTTTGACTTCAAGTCCTCCTGGCTTCTGTTATCATTTCTACATATGCGCAATCGCTAGGATAATATTGCTGAGAATTATCTAAGTGTATGGAATCAGCCTTGTGCGAATGCGCCTGCTCGGACTTCCGCCCAAAGAGATTCCCCGCCCTTGAGAATATCCAAAAGGTCAAGTCCTTGACATCTCTGCACAAGGATGATTTCAAGACTGCCGTGCTTGGGGATTACTGGAGGGCTCGGATTTTGACGCCCTACAGCGGTCGGCTTCTTACCAAACCAACGGATAAACTCGTCGCTCTTACAGCTGTCGCTTCCCGATTGCAATCCGAGTTTGGGCTGACTTACCTCGCTGGACTCTGGAAAGATGATCTCATAAAGGAGCTGCTGTGGTGTGTCAGTCCCCGTGGGCGCAACGCAAAACACAATCCAATCTATCAGGAGAGCTTCTACGCTCCTACCTGGAGTTGGGTCTCGGTTGACGCTCCGATGTCCTGGCATCCTTTTGAACGTGTTGACCCTACAGAGGAACCACTGGCTCAAGTCATCGAAGCCTACACGCGCCCTTCGACAGTCAATCCGTTTGGCGCCGTATCTCACGGGGAGATCAAACTTTCTGCAAGTGTCCGCCCAGTGACTGCAGAATATGATGATGAAAGGGATTGGTGCCAGTGGACCATACCTGTGGCTCAGATAAGCGAATCACTCAGCGATTGAGAGAATTTTGCCGTGGTCAAATTCGATACGTCGTTGCGTGTTACTACCGAACGCGATGAACTCAACCAAGCGGAGCATCCCACGGTTCGACGTCTACAACATGGGGAGGAGGAGAAGGACAGACAATCTAAGATACCAGTCATAGCTGTCCCTATGATCATTGCGGGGCATTCAGAAGTGCGTTATCAGCTCATGTATGGCCTCATCCTCCGAGAATCAGTGACGCGTATTGGGTGCTTTGAGCGTTTAGGACGTTTCAGTATGTCTTGTTCCGCGACACATGTTGGACTCAGAATGATGGCTCGGCAAGAAATCGTTCTTGTTTAACATCATTGGCTTAGTTCATGATGCAGAACAACTACCGCGCTACCCTGGACCATCAAGAAATCGCCACAAAGGGTGAAGACGAGGATTTATTATTTGGGCATAATGTGCCCCTCAAAGGCAACCAGCCACTAGCCTGGGCCCTGCTCGCGGAATGGTCCTCGACGGTGGATTACCTCTCCCGCGGAATAATTACAAAGCAACTCGAGCTATGCGTGGTTTGTGATGTTGATGCCAAGGACATCACCACAGCCAAGCGTGTAATCGAGCCATTATACCGACTTCCCCAGCTCAAGGACTGCCACCTTCGCCTGTCCAGGACATCTACTCCTCTACTCAATGAGATGACGCGGCATACAGCCCTCCAGCTCCCTGGTCTTTGTTGGCCCCAAGAAATGCCTGCTTCCCAGCCCTATCACGAGTCGTTAGAGCCACCTCGCAGTGGGGCGTATACTGGTTCCCGGCTTCTGGAACTTCCCCGTGAACTGCGCTTCCGCATTCTGGAGTATACAGACCTGATCACGCCCTGGAAAGAGGTTACCTGGAGCAGACAGCACCCAGCTTTCATAGGGGTCAAGGCGTTCTGTGGCACGCTGGACGGCCGTGGAGAAGAATTCCCGCCTCACGTCCACCATGGCTGCCAATTTGTCGACTGCTGGCAGAAGTGTCCTGAGCCCTGTGTTGGCTGCTTCTGCCGAGTCCACCATTCCGCCTTTTCGTCTATTTGCATGTTCTGGACACCACCGCAGGATCAATTCCTTGTATGCCATACCCTGTACGAAGATGCACTGGTAGTCTTCTATTCGGGTAACCGCTTCGTGGTCCACGACTACAACCACCGAGACCCGTACACGCCACCTCTGGGAGTATACTCATCCCCCCGCCTGGCTGCGAGCATGTTCTTCACCGACGTAGTACCTGAGCGTTGCCTCAGGGAGCTGCGATTCGTGGAGCTTGACTTTCCCCCCTACAGCCCCGAATGCTGGCCCAATGAGGCAGCTCTCAACGACTGGTCCCTTACGCTGAGCTGGGCTGGAAAGAGGCTCAACCTTCCGGGCCTTACCATTCGGTTGATCATGGTGGGACTGGACGGGTGGGAGGTCCGAAGAGACATGACAAAGGAGCAAGGAGGTTGTATCATAGCCACCTACGCACGCATCGTAGCACCAATCGCTTGTCTCGGTTTGGACGGTCTTGCCAAGTTCTATTGCAGTCTTGCCTGGCCCTGGGCGTACACAGAAGAATCGGAAGCAATCGCGATGGACCGTGGCTGGGACTGGTTCGCGCCTCAAGAAAGGGTCTTGGAGGAGCGTTATGGTCGGATAGTTACTATGGGTGACCGGTACGATCTACTCCACTCTGGCAGTGCCAAACCCACTGACAGCAGTTGGGTGCGCAAATATATTAGGGACTGTTAGAGTACTCTGTGGAATATGAAATTGGAACGTCCCTCCCGTTCTCGGACCGAAATAATAAAACACGGTTTCACTCGTTTCTAATGGTCATCGAGCCATAGAAAATGGAACCATCATCTGGTCTGACCGCTCTCGCATGGCTAAAGACCCGCTCATCCACAGGAGTGAGCAGTCAGGTGATACTAAAGTGGTGTGTAAAGCCGGACTGTCGATCTGACTGGCACATAATGTTTGCTCTGCGGAAGGCGCTCGGGGGTTCGTGACACATGTGTGAGGCTGGAGCAGCACAAATCAGGCAATAGACTAGGCATCTATTTCCCTCCCCCCCCCCTCTTCATCGCATATCTCTGACATCCTCACGTTCCTTTAAAGTCTTGCGAAGGTCTGACACCCTTTTCTTTACATCGCTCCCATATCTGACTGGGAAGTTGGCCGAAGTTCTGCTGACTTCTTTGATAGAATTACACTGCAAAAGAGAGAACCCAGAAACCTGAGCACCCAGGACTTCATATCTATCGATTCTGCCCAAAATGCAAGATGGCAGCCCTGACTCTGTGCTGTCAGAATCCGAAAGGGGGCATGATGATGTTTCTGCCGATCCTTGTATCACGTGCGAGAAACTCCTCGACGCGGCTCACCGTATCGTGGCCAAGAACCTGCAAAGGCGAGACCACGAGATTGGACCGTTGCGAAACTCGGACCGGTTTGTACCGGTACTGCGACCCCTGACCAACATCGGATGTCTGGTGAACATCCTAGTGGACTCGAGCTGTGAAAACCACAAAGGCTTTGTGCGGGATACATTCTTGATGCCACATGATGCATACACGACTACAGGCCGCTTCGAAGATAAAACGGTTGAGGCGTACTGGCGCGCAGACAAAGATCGCGCCGAGCTTGCCACCCGCGCACTTAATACTTACTCTTTCTGTGAGATCCTGTTGCTCACTTGCGAGCCAAATATTTCTCTCCTTCCTTGCATGGGACGACAAAGGGATGAGAATTTTATTGACATCAACCTGGCAAAGGATTGGATTTGTCATTGCGAGCGAAACCATACGGCAACTTGTGGCATACAAACTCTGCCTTCTACGCAGCTATCGTGGATGGTCGACACCAAAGACCTGTGCTTGGTGCCGGCCGTGGAGGGCACTCGATATGTGGCCCTAAGCTATGTCTGGGGCCACACAGAGATGCTGAAGTCTACCACAGACACACTCCGTATTCTTCAAGAGGCAGGAGCACTTGGCGCAAGGACAGGCTTGAAGGTACCCAACGTCGTACAAAATGCCATTGCGCTTGTCCCTCGGCTGGGAGAACGCTACCTATGGGTCGACTCGCTCTGTATCATGCAAGATGACCGCGAGTGCCTGGATCGCCACATCCGGCATATGGCTTCCATTTATGAGGCTGCTCTCTTCACCATTGTTGCGGCGGATGGCTCAGACGCAAACTATGGGATTTTGGGGATCAGGGACGTGTCAGCACCCCGGAAGCTGCCATCGACGGTAGAACTAACGTCACAACTTCGTTTGAGGCCACGGGGACGTCTTAACATACTTGATAGTCTTTGGGGGCAACGGGCATGGACCTTGCAAGAGCATGTGTTCTCCAAGAGGAAGCTTGTGTTTGTTCATGGATCGGTACAGTGGATATGTCAAGAGCATCGATGCTTTGAGGACGTCCGCCAAGAGTCTCCATCAATCCGAATGAAAAAAGACAAGACTACGATATGGATCAGGAGCTGGAAAGCGTTGGTGATCTTGCTCTAAGATATCCAGCAGTCTCACAGTTGGAGGAACTTCTCGGGGGCTATACTGCCAGGAAGCTTACCTTTGAAAACGATGCACTGAGGGCGGTTGAGGCCGTCTTTATGGCCCATCGTATGGCTTTCCCAAGTGGATTTTTTCAGGGCTTACCACTTGACTTCTTCGACTTGGCGCTACTTTGGTATCATCCGACAGGCCAGGGTGCGACACGACGTCCAGCGGTCCCACCCTCCAAAGTATCCCCTTTCCCAAGCTGGACTTGGGCTGGATGGGTCGGCAAACTGAAGCTTGGAGCTTGGCGTTCTGCGACATATATCAAAGATGCAGACGAGCCCGCTTATTGGGGCAAAAGATGTCTGACCATTCCCATGCTTGAATGGCGGTATCAGTCCGATAATAAGACGTCAGGTTTCCCCGTTCCCGGGCAGAACAGCGCCAACGATTGCAGGCAACAGTTTATGGGGAAGGCAAACGGGTTGCCGCATGGATGGAAGTACGAGAATGAATCTTTGGGGCCTATACCGTCTGATGCGTGGTCGAGGTTCGCCATGCTCAAAAGCAACAACTGGGGCCTGCAGACTCCCTACTACTATTCACATGAGGCTGCACCTGGTGTGAAGTTCTGGCACCCAGTGCCAATCTCACCTGATCCGCCAAGTGATAGAGCGGTTTTCATCGATGGTCGCCTTCTACGCGCGGAGACTCAGAGCGGCCGACTTTGGGTGACCGGCGATAAGAATAATATACCCACTGGCATGACTGAGAACGTGGCCGATGCACACCAAGGGATTGGAATCCGCCTATTCAGCGACACAATCACTGTTGAAACAGTGCTTCTGGATGAGAAGGGTGATGTAGTTGGCGACTTATACATCAATGATCGAGACGACTTTGAAATTGTCAAGAATTATAGTCGTCAAACCGACAAAGCAGGTTATCCATGTGAGCTGGTTGCAATATCCAAAGGAAACGACTTCGTACATCCCATGGAGCCCAGCAAAGAGGAGTACACGTTCTACAACGTGCTTTGGGTAAAATGGGAAGACGGCATTGCATACCGAAGAGGCATGGGCCGAGTCAAGAGGGAGACATGGGAAAGCATGAAGCTGGAGGATATTGACTTGGTACTGGGCTGAGCATGACTATGAAGTAATTAGACTGCCACCTCTTTGAGAAGAGGACTATCGCATGTTACGAATCTCATTTGTACAACGATTGGATTTCAACCTTGTACATTACACTCACCAACGGAGCAGCACGCATAGTTTTATATCATAATTGTGCCCACCAGGTGGGTGGCTTTGTACTACACATGTGCAGCCTCTTGCACAGCCGAAAGCATCTTGTGCACAATACACTCCCATGCACAGAGACTATTTACCATGCTAGTCCGCCAGGGCAGGTCAGAGCTACCCAGGTACACAGGAAAGAGAACCAGGGAAAGAGTAAACTTGGGAAGTGAACTCCGGCGGGATAAGGCAGCAGAAGACAAAGATAGCAAGCATTCACAAAGCACACGGGCACCAGACATGATCAAGCGACCCAGCTATATTCCAACTCCATGCCTGCGCCGTCACAACCACAGCCTCACAATCTCACATAGCCCAGCCTGAATTCACTCTGCAATCAAGCAACCACCCTGGCACGCGTGTGTATGCAGCAACGCTTTTCCAATTCTTCATACAACACACAACAATCCTCCAATACGATACCCTGTTTCCAAACGGCCCCTACAATATAATCCCCAGCTCCCCCCGATCGATCCCATCCTCAGACAGGTTAAGATAATAAGGCACCATAGCATCAGCCTGCATGACATACGCATCATTATAGATGCGCCAGAAGGGCTGGCGCACCTTGCGGGCCGGGTGGAACAGCCCCGCCCAGACGTAGTTCATGACCAGGCCCGGCCCCACCGCGACGCGGATGGCCTCGATGGCCTCGATGACGCGGTCGATGACGTGCGGGGACTGCTCGTAGGCGTTGGGGAGGATCAGGTTCAGGCAGTGCAGCATGGCGTCCTCGAGCCCCAGGCCCACCACGCCCAGGGCGATGTGCTTGACCACCGACGCCGCCGTCTGCCGGTGCACCTGGTCCCGGTCGATGAGCGCGTCCTCCAGTAAGGGGACCACCGCGTACACGTAGTCCTTGGCCATCTCGCCGATGTACTCGAACAGGAAGGATAGCGACTTGAGCACGCCCGTGCGCACGTTGAGCTCCGCTACCGAGGCGTACTCGTTCATCAGCGCCGGCAGCACCGTGAACGGCGCGCACGTCTCGGCGACGATGCCGATGGCCTGGGATGGTCGTTAGCACAATGACACTTGAGTGGTTGTTGGAATGGGGCAAGGGGGGAAGAGGTTGGAGGTGACTCACAACTGCCGTGTTGACACGGCTCTGACGCTCCTGCACCCGAAGGTTGGACAACAGCGTCGCCAGCACATCCTGGGGACCGATGGCCTTGGCGATGAAACCAAAGGTGTTGTTGGCAGCACGGCGGATGCCCTTCTTGTGTGCCTTGAGCATGTCGAGCAGCTCGAAGCAGATACGCATCCACTCGCGCGCGTTGACGGACTCGGGCCCGCGATCGGCGATACGACCGACCAGGTCGACAACGTTCTCCTGCACCCTCTCGTGCCGGTTTCGAAGGATGGGCGTCAGCCGCGGGAGCAGGTCCTTGATAGGGGGCTGCATCTGGTTGATACCAACGACGGTAACGATGGATCGCAGAGCGCCGAGGATGGCACCCAGGACTTCGGGGTACTCCTCACCCAGGTACTCGTAGAGCACGATGCCCAGCTTGCCCAGGAGAGCGTCTTCGCCGCACTGGGCCATAACCATGGCGATACGGGAGATGAGGTCGGCGGCTTGCTGTCGGGTCGCCGCGCTCTTGTTGTTGAGCCGCCACAGAATGGTGCTGACAATTTGCGGCAGGTATGGCTTGGTCCTGGTGCCCAACGCGTTGACACACGAGCCGAAGGCGTTCAACACCACGACATCTTCGACAGACTGCTCCTGGAACGAGTGCAGGATGCCGTCGATGAGTCGCTCCTCTAGCCTCTCGCCGATGTCTGCAGCGCCAAGAGATGCGACGAGCTTCTCAATGGTTTCGACTGTCATTTTACGGTAAGCTTCGCTCTCATCCTTCAGGTTACCCACAATCCTCTCCAGGATTTCGCTGACGCCAACCTTTTGTCCGAGATCGCAGGTCGTCTCGACAACCGAGCGGTAGTTCCGCTTATCCAGTGCCACTCGACGGACCCAGAAGTTAGAAAAGAAGTCATCCAGCACATGAGACTTGAGGTAACCTGCCGTGACGCCCTCGGTCTGAGACATCTTGGACAGCACTGTCAAGACCACACGCCTCATCTCGTCGTCAGGACTCTGGAACTCTCGCAGCACGACATCCATGATTTGCGAGGTGTAGTAGTTGGCGTACTCCTCGTCCATCAACGGGATAATGAATCCAACAGCCTTGAGGAAGGCAGCCAGATTCTTGCCTCGTTGCCGCTTCGTGCCTGTCCACAGCGGGTTGAGGATACTATCGAAGCTTTCAATACCGTAGGGGTTGGCAGCTTCAGCCAGTGCCGCTGTCGCGAGCGCCGTGACAGTACGCACCTTGGTCTGCTCGTCGTTCAGGTTGGGCCTGATGCACTCGACCAGGTCTGTGAGGTGGGGCAGGACGGAGCAGCCCATCAGGATGGCAATCTGCTGCACAATCTTGACACCAGTGTGCCGTGCCTGCCAACTCTTCTTGGTTCGCGTGACAGCTCGCAGGAAGGGGATGAGGGCGGGAATTCCGAGTGCCGAGGCGACAACGGCAAAGGCACGGGCCGTTGTGTTTCGGACGTATTCGTCGACGTGGTCAATATCAGGTCGCATGGTACTGATCATGGTCGACAAGCCGGCGGCTTTAGCCAGGTTAGAGATGATCTCACGACCCTCCACTCGAGCATAGTAGTCTTGGTCGATCAGAAGAGGCTCGATGACGACAAGAATCTTGTGTGTATATGGCCTCACCAATTCGTCCAACTTGTACAGCACTCTGTCGATGACCTTGACCAGCAAGTGGCGCTCCTGGTCCTCGAGTGTCCTCTCCATTAGAAGTGGCAGAATCTGGTTGAAGAGGGGGCCGGCGCCAAAGCTTCGTGCATTGTCGGTTAGCTGACGCAGTGCAGTCTTTCGCATGGGCGGTGTACCGTTCTTGATCTTGAGGAGCAGTCTCATGATCTTCCTCTCCTTGAGCTCATCCACGCTCAAGTGTTCCTCGTCAACAGTCTCGGTCAGTTTGGAGAAATACTGCATGTCCTCAGGCTTGAAGAATTGTAAATCACCAACGCCAGGGATCTCTTTTGGTAACTGGTTCCCTCCCAGACGCGCCGAGTTGGGATCCTGCATCATAAACCCAGTCGTCTGGACCGGAGTCTGCACGAGCTTGTGTGCAGGAGCACGAACTGGGGCGTAGCCCGGCGGCGGCTCCAAAACCTTGTATCCGTCGGCCTCGCCCGGCAGGATGGCATCGAGCTCCTCGTCGCTAATGGGCGCATTCCGTGCTGACATGTCCATACCGATGGGTGCCGCGGGGAGCATCGAGCCCTGAGAGGGGTGCATGGGTGTAGCGAGGCCCGTGTTCCCAACGGGTGTAGCGGCCGGAGCCTGGTCCCAACGCGACCGCTTCTTGGTGGCTTCGGCGCCTGGGACTTGGATGGCGGGAGCTTCGTCCCACCTCGACCTCTTCTTCTTCTCGGGCTGTGGTTCCGGAGCAGGTGTTGTATCGTCCGTCGAGCTCACGTCCCACCTCTTCTTGCGCTTCCGACCAGCCGCAGCCTCAGTAGAGCCGGCTTCCTCGTTCTCCTTATCTCCGTTGGGCAGGGCCAGTGTGGGTTTGTGTTCCTCGGTCGCATCGGCGTCCCCGTTCTTCATCTTATCCTCGATGGCCTTCCTCACTCGTTCTTCCTCCCGCTCCAGCTCCGCCTTCTCCATGACGCTCCTGTAGGTCTCGCCATCCTCGCCGGCGGCACCCGCCTGCCTGTTAGCCGCAAAGGGGTCGGCGCGTGTGGGCGTCAGGACGCGGTTGAAGCGCCTCTTCTGATAATCCGTCTCCCGGTCCGAGATGCGGTTGCTGCGTTCGCCCTTGCCCAGGAGCACATCCTCCTCTTCGACACCCTCGCCCCGTGCAAACTCGTCGATCTGCGATTGGGTGGCGGTGTACTGCCCGACCAGGCGGCGCGAGTTGTCGGGACCGTCGACGTCCATGTCATCGCCATCATCATCGCCGGCAGGCAGCGAGGTGTGGTAGCCGGCGAACTTGTCGGCGCCATTGCGCTCGTAAAGCTCGGTGTCGTAGGCTTCGGTCAGGCTGGCCTTCGTGGACGAGTCGCGCTGGGAGGAGAGGTCTCGTGAGGCTCCTTTCTTGGCCGCTGCAGCGGCATTGCGCTCGGCCTGCAGCTTGCGGATCTGGTCGAAGTCCGAGTCCGACATGGTTACGGGATTGATCGGCTACATGTATCGTGACGTGTCGTGTCTGGAGAGCTCTGCCGCGGGATGGGAACGGAGTCGGACGGGCTGTTCGGAGGGCGTTGATGGTTTGGGGAGGAGGCGACGTCGCGAAAATTAGAGCTCGGTCATGAAATGTTAGGTACCCGGCCCGCGGTAGCGCAAGGCTGGAAACTCGGGTGGGTCTTTGGATGAGCAGGGGTTGGTGGCGACTTTGCGCTAGTGCCATTTGCAGTGTGGCCCCCACCCCCGGTTTGGTCCTCAGTACAGTCGACGCCGCTTTCTTTGGGCGAATATTGCACAAATAGAATACCATTAGAGCGACGAGTTACTTGCAAGATCGCTTTTTGAATTCAGAGAAATGATTGCACATGGGTATCGATTCCATCACCCACCCTGCCCGGGTGCCCAAATCAGCCATATAATTCCTCCTTCCCCAAAACCTGAACGCCATTTTGATGCCGGCTTTGCCATTCAGTGCCTGCTGTGTCATAGGACGGTCCCATGGTAGAATATAATTCCGACCTCAGAGCTTTCTGAATCTCATTACACCTCCAACTTACAGATCCTTGTCATATGCCTCCATCAGCATTCCTTTCAAACCTCGTAGCTGACCGTTGGCCCGTTTCTATTGAGATTTGACACCCTCAGCGCTCGAGAAGAGAAACCGTCCACGGCCCCTCAACTGGGTTGAACTGCCTTTCCTTCTCGTCAAGAGGGAGGTATTGATTTCCCTGTTCGAGGATCGTCCTAGCCTCTCGTACGACCTGGTCAGGGAGCAGGATCTCCTCCTCGTCCATCGTCTTGGGCTGGAACAGGAGCTTCATGGCATAGACGCCCTGCTTGGAGGAGCAGGAGAATTTGACGCGAGGGTTCAGGATCCAGACCGTGACAGCCTCCTTCTCTCCCTGCAATACAACCTTTGCACTACCGGACCGAGCTTGCGTTGCGATGAGGGCTGCAGCGAGGCACTGAGAGAGAGATGGTGGGGCGGACAAGTACGAGTCTTTGTCGACGCCAGCCTGCTCGACGAGGTTGAGCTTCCACTTGAAGAGCGACAGGCCATTCTTGCGGTTGTCGAGACGGCCAAGCTGGGTTTTGCACTTGTGGCAGTGTGCGTCCAGAGCACGAAACCCGCTGAAGTCCTGGGAGACGATGCTCTCATGTGCGGCGTCATACCGAGGGATCTGCATGACGGTCAGTCAGCGGGGATGATGACACGGGACAGTAAACGAAGGTTTATGTGACTCTGGCTAATCGCGACGGGCCCAATGACTCTGAGAGCCGTCGGTGAAAAGCAGAGTGATTGACTCCCTGCCTCGAAACGAGCGAACCGCAGCGCAGACACGAGGGCTCGCTTGTTCCTCGGCAGCTTGCTGAGTGCAAGATGGGCCAGAGTTTCGATCTCGGGCAAATGTATAGGTAGCCACACCACCAAGGAGGCGGACCCCTTCTTTAATGCCCTACCGGACGAGATAGGCGTGTGGGAGGTTGAGATGGGATCGAGGATAGACTCCATGAGGTTGGGTATGCTTACCATCAGACATTTGCAGTCGTTCTGGGGGAAAAGAATCGTCATGAGGTCAATAAAGCCAACACTGTTCTGTGCAGAGATGATAGAATTGGCACCATAACCACGAGAAGCCAGATCATCCTCAGAGGCCTTGTTCTGAGTATCACCAGCAGCAGTACCAGTCGAGTGGGCATCGGTGGGCTTGTGGCAGTGCCAAAACTCCATCATCTCGGCCCAGTTTTCGCTAGGCAGGTCCTTGAACGTCTTGATCGTGTCTCCGGCGACGACGGTTTCATCACATGCTCGACAGGCAACGCGTAGTCCTGGCTTGAGATCTGCTGCAGACCATGGCACGCTATCAGGGGCGACGTGCTGTGCGGCCTCGGCCTCCACTGGGGTGGGGAACAAGCGCCAGCTGATCTTAATGTGGCCTGGCTTGACCTCTCCAGGGAGATGCTCGCCAGCGACGCGGGTCTTGACGGGAAGGCGCAGCTTGGTGCTGGCGCCGTCATGGTCGACGATCAGATGCAACCCATCCCTCGAGACGAGAACCTTGGTCTTGTGGGTTGACTGGGTGGGAAGGTGGATGACCACAGAGATGCGACCAAGGCGTGGCAGGAACTCGGCGTAGATGTTGGGCTGGGCCGCCCCGGTGGTTACCGAATCTGCCGCCATGATGAGGACGACGAAGGGCGAGCTGAGGCCCTGTGGCTAAGGCCTGCTGTGGTCAGTCCCAGGATTTCAACTTCTAGGCATCATCCGAACATGAGCATACATGGAGCGCCGTTGATGCAGATCAGAAGACAAGACGGCAACACAGCCGGGGAATGACTGTATCGTGTCGGTTTTAGATATCAATGTCCAGCAGGGACAGGTCGTGGTAATGCAACTCATGTTGCGGTTCAGTGTTGAGGTTTGACGGAGTGGATGAGTCAGCCGTCGAGAACCCTACCCCTGGAGAGACCGTCTACGGAGACGTACCCTCCCCATCTCAAGGAGTCAACCCTGGTAACTCTTTGCTGCCTCATCAGCATGCGACTGTCACCACAAATGCAAGGCTTGAATGAGGCCTGAGCATTTTCACCAAACTCATACAATTTCCTCAGATATTTTTCTTTGGAAGCGAAAACACTATTACAGCGCTCTACTATCTCATGATCGCAAATTCCGCAACTCCTCGCGCCGATGTCACAAGAAAATGGAATCCGATGACGCAGGGGAACCTGACGGAATAGACGCCACCCACTATTCTCCCAGGATAGGATATCCAGAGTTGTGCCAGCTGCCTTGTCCCTCCCAGCATACTCAGGATGCTTCCCTCCAACCACACGCGCCCTCTTACGGAAACCCTCCCGCTCACTGACCAGCACCCTCTTCAGCGCGTCACCGAGCTCGACCCTCTCCCACGGTGCAGCGCCTTTGTTAGCCCAGACTCCAACCTCGTTCAGCTCGACCCGGTTGCCGAAACCATAGCAGTCGATCGAGCCGGGAACCAGCACCTGCGGCACCCCGGCGGCGATGGCCTCGTGGTGCGAGTTGGTCCCGCCGTGGTGAATCGAGCATGCGACATGTCCGGACTGGAGGATCGCACACGGGTCCGCCTCGCCCCACGGCTTGATCCGCACCCGGTCCTCCGATATCTCCGAGCCCAGCGTGTCGTGGACGGGCTTCCACTCGCCGTCCCACGAGGCCTGGTCGCTTGCGTCCTCCCGCTTGAGCTTCCACAGCACCCCATCCGCGTGTTTACCTGCCCATCCGCCGCATCGAGCAGATCGCGCAGCGCCAGCGCGAACTCGAGTGTCTCGTGCGGCTTAAGCGCGAACTGCGCTCCCAGGTTGACGTACACCCTCGGGTCCCGCGCTAGCCACCTCCCCAGCGCCGGGTCGACCTCAGCCAGCCTCCACTACGGCCGCACGATGGGCCCGCACGGCGTGACGTGGGACAGGAGCACGTCAAAGGGATAGTCGAGGTCCTCGCTCATGGCGCCCAGCAGGCGCACGCCCGGCGGCGGCGGGCGCTGACGACGCCCAGGTCCGCGAGGGTGAGAAGCCGCAGGGAGGCGTCGCCCGTGGCCCCGCGCAGCAGCTGCACCGCCTCACCCAGCCTCATGTCTGTGACCATCGTGAAGCCGAGCACGAACGGCAGGCTTTGCGTTCATATACCCCTGGGCCATGCGTGTTGGTTACATTGAATGGGCCGTGCCAACACCGGGGGAGGGTCCAAAATTGCGATGGAAAAGCGTTTGGTATCGCAGGAGCGATCCTTCTCGCTTGTCTTGTTTACAACTGCTAAATACTAAAGGCATGGAACTGGGCCGTACTACGCGGCGGGAAGCTGGTGGTGCCATCAACTTGTACTAGCTTAAGTTTGAAGGCAAGTTGCAGGCTTTTTACGCTTGCCGGTAATTCTTGAATCAGCCCGAACCTGTTATATGCTTGGATGCCGTTAGAAAGTTCAAGGGCTTGAACAGGTCTCTCATCTCATTATCGTTACAGACAAGTGAGTCCGAAAGCAGGGAATAACGCGGAAGGATACTGTGACGGGGAGATCATCAGGGCATCTCAGCAGTTACTCTTGCAAGTTGAAGGACGATTTGCATGTCTTTTCCAAATCACATATCTGACTATGGACGGTCGCCTGGCCTAAAGCGCTGAATGCTGCGATGGTGTCCTTGTTGGGGTGTCTGTCGTTCCTCGGATTTAGTCATGCAGATTGGGAAGACGACTTGAGCGGGATGGACCACAAGTCTGCTTACGTTGTTAATGCGTTATCACGGCAATGCTAGATCAGTGTCACTTTAGGGATTTTATGTCAGCTCAAAAACTTGCCAAGCTTCATTTGAGGGCAGAAAATGGTGAAAAGCTTCCAGATCGCTGATAAGCAAGTCCTGGAGCATGGCGGTGTTGGCAAGTTATTTTTGCAATTAAAGAAGCTCTTAGAGTCCAGTGGTGTTGGAAAAAGTCCAATACTAGTTTCCAGATCATCGTTTTGCCAAAGAGCTGTTTGGGTGAGCAAGTGCGGCCGGGCTGTTGGTCAACAAGATGAAGTGAAAAGAGTTTGGCTGACAGATGAAGATGATCTACACTTCAATCGGTGGCGTCAGAGGTCTGAGTAGTTTAGGAAAATGAATGGATTTAGAAAAGGAAAATTGAAGAGATATTATTGATTTACGCTCAAATGGCCGGGCACAAAGGCTCGGGATAAATCAGAACGAGGCACATCAAGCCAAAAATAAGACTCTTACCACCAACGGGTTCCCGACTCGCCGAGCCATCTCAAAGTTCCGTTCCGATTATGCTCACAAGAGAGGAATGTGGAAGCTTTACTGGGAATACCATCAGTTGCCTAGACAAACTACGGGATAAAACGCGTGCGGCCTTGCCGTTGTGGGTAGCGTGATCCTTCCGGAATAGCTACAGTGGCTCCATCATCGTACCATCCAGACACCGAGGCACACATGCCACCCAGCACCCGGATCTAGACCATCTAGACCCTGGGAAGTCAAGGACGTGCCTTGCATACAGGCAGAGAAGTGCTGACCACGATCTCTCTCACCTGATAGGTGGAAAATTGGCCGCCCTCGCCTGGATTGAGACTTGTCACTTTTCCTGCCCCGGACAACGAGAACAACGTGACTAGGCGTATTCCAAAGATGATTGTATCGTCGGCGCCGTCCAGAACATCCTGTCACGCGTGGGCTGTGAGCGGTGGCCAGATGGGATATCATGACCTCGCCGGCGCAACGGATGCGCTGGCCACAGCCATGCGTGCGACAGAGGATGGAATACTTATAGCAAGGCGGTAACGCCCAGATGTCCAATTGCGAGATACCCCAGACTTCCACAGGAATGATAAAAGCAAGACCAGCGATATACAATATCGACAAAACCTCTCACACAGACCACCATGTCGGCTACAACACAAGTCTCAGCCGGCCTTGACCTAGGCACAGGCCCTACCCTCTCCCTGACGGGCGCCGGCGAGCAGAAGCCAATGAGGCCCCTGACTAGAGACGAGGCCGTCGGCTTCGAGGTCGACTCCCCCGACACATGGAGCAACTTCCACAAGCGCGTGCACAAGCTCAAGCCCCAGGGCGACTACGACGTCGACATGAAGATCCTAGCCTGCGGCGTCTGCGGCAGCGACGTGCATACCCTCTGCGGCGGCTGGGGAGACCAGCACTACCCTCTATGCGTTGGTCATGGTCAGTCGCCCATCAGGTCCTTCCAATCAACACACCTTTCCTGGCCCATCACGCCCCTTTCCTCTCCCCACCCCCCTCCCGGCGTATTCTTAGCCCAATTCTAACAGTGTCTTCCATCTCTCAGAAATCATCGGCCTCGTAACCCGCGTCGGCCCAAAAGTAACTCTCCACAAGATAGGCGACCGCGTCGGCGTCGGCGCCTCGTCCTGGGCCTGCCTCGAGTGCCGGCAGTGCAAGAAGGGCAACGAGCAGTACTGCGCGCACCAGCTCGACACGTACGGCGCAAAGTGGCCCGACACGGGCTACGTGACCAAGGGCGGCTACTCGTCGCACATCCGCATCCACGAGCACTACTGCTTCCCCGTGCCCGAGGAGCTCCCCACCGCCGTCGCGGCGCCCATGATGTGCGCGGGCCTGACGGTTTACTCTCCCCTGAAACGCAACGGGTGCGGGCCGGGGGCCAAGGTCGGCGTCGTCGGGGTTGGCGGGCTGGGCCACCTGGCCGTCATGTTCGCCAATGCCATGGGCGCCGAGGAGGTGTGGGCGTTCATGCTGGACCACAGCCTTGACGAGGACGCGCGGGAGCTGGGCGCGACGGGGGTGATCGTCATGGGCGACGAGGGCGTGCGGGAGGAGCACAAGCACACCTTCGACCTGATCCTCAACAGCGCCAGCTCGAGCGTCAACTGCGCGCCCTTCCTGCCGCTGCTGGACGTGCACGGCCGCTGGATCAGCGTCAGCATGCCGGCCAAGGAGGACAAGGGCACCGAGGTGTCGACGTGGACGCAGATCGAGAACGGGTGCCTGATCGGGGCGTCGCACCTCGGCTCGCGCAGGGAGGCCCTCGAGATGCTGCGGCTCGCCGCCGACAAGGGCGTCAGGACGTGGGTCGAGGAGGTCGACATCAGCAAGGAGGGGCTCAAGGCCGCGCTCGAGAGGTGTCGCAGGAGTGATGTCAGGTATCGCTTCTGTCTGACGGGGTACGACAAGGAGTTCGGTGAGGACATCAAGGGTCGGGAGGATTGATTTGTTCTTCTGGAGTTGGCGGATGGGCGCATGGGGAGACATCAAACTGGAAAACCAAATTAAGTAATGAATAATAGACGTTATACTTCTCTCGCTGCACTCCACCTATGCAACCAGGGTTGTTTCTGAGAACCACTCGAAAATCATGGTCGGAAGAAGTTAAGGAAGATAAAAAGGGACAACCGTGTTTACGACATGGAAATAAAAGTGTTGTGGAGAAGGCTGTGGACGGAGCAGAAACCACAGGAAATCCGTCCACAAGTATACGAGAGGGTTCACCAAGCCAGGTCGTAAGAATCGAAGCGAGGAAGAATGATTTATGATCATACTAGAGTCTTTTACCCCAGCAGGGGAACCCAAGGAGCCCAAAAGATGAATCACAAAGATAACGCCAGAGAGGGCCAGATAAGAGGTAAAAACCCGCTGTGTGTTAATTCAGTGTGTTCTGATCTGTTCGTTCAGTTTTGTCTATCACCACAACAAACCACTCACCACACCACCAACCGCTAGGTCACACACCACCAGCACCACCAGAACGCAACCTCGCCACCTACGGGGACCAAAAGGTGTCCTCCACTTCGGCGCCTTCCTCGACGCCGGCATCTTCGATCTCGCCTTCTTCCTATGGGGACGACGAGGAACTCTACTCCTCGCCGCCCTCCTCGGCGGCGGGCTCCTCGGCCTCGTCCTCCTCCTCATCCAGCGACCCGGCGGGTACGTCGTACAGGCGCAGGATGCTCTTGTTAGGGTCCTTGACGAGGACGTACTTTGCGTCGCCGTCTCCCGCCTTGAGCACCATGTCTGAGATGGTCCGCACGATGCCCCAACCGTTGGACAGCGACAGGTTCATCTGGTTGGCGAAGTCGCGCGGCTTCCAACCGACAACGCCCAGGATAACGTGCTTGTCGTTGGCCTTGGGGTTGACTCGGGAGACGAATCTGTGAGGAGGCTGTATCAGTAAAGAGTCACAAGTGTGTCTGGGGTTCTGGATATTTTGACTCACCCGATCTTCATCTGGTCCCGCCTTGGCCAGGATGCTCTGCACGGTCCATCGGGCAAGCTTGCAAGAGTTGTTTTTCATCTCAGTGGCGACAACGGCACCGCGCTGCGACACGAGCTTAGAGCGCCAGTCCAGGGCGCCGCCGCTGCCCTGGGCCTTGCTGTCGAACTCGTTGAGGGCGTGCACGCGCAGGAACTGGTCGTCGCCGCTGATGGCGTTCTTCTGCACCGCGTCGAGCTCCGTCCGCACCACCAGGTACACGGGGGCCTCGTCGTTGATGCTGATGTCGAACTTGCGGTACCGGTAAGCCTTGGACGCGGGCGGCTCCGTCTCCTCGGCCGCGTTGTAGAAGGGGTTGCCGTGCGACATCTCCACCTTTTGTGACTCGAGCACCACCTGGTTGGCGAAGTTGTGGTTGATGTATGTCGCCTCCTCGGCCAGCGCCGCCGGTTGGTTGATGACGTCCTTGGAGCCCTCAGAGGCCTCGAGCGGTGCGTCGGCCGCGTTCTCGTTGACGGTGACCATGTCCAGCGCAGCGTTCTCGCGCTTGTCCAGGAACACCTTGTTGCCCTGCTTGACGATGACAATGTCCCAGGGGTAGACGGAGCGGGGCGCGCACATGAGCATGGACAGCACGCTGTCGGTGGCGAAGACGGTGGCCTCGTTCTTGTCGGCCAGCTCCTGGATGATGGGGTCGGACGACGTGGTAACGTTGTAGGCGGCGCGGTCGATGGGGTTGAGCTTCTTCTCGGCCGACTTGACGGGCTGCTTGTCGTAGGAGCGGTCGTAGTAGGACACGAAGCCGTAGCTGTCGATGTCCTCGCCCTCGTCGGCGTCCAGGTTGAGCTTGAGCAGCCTGTTGTAGTCGATCTCCTCGAGCAGCTTCCAGTCGGCGCGGATGTTGATGGAGGCGTCGCGGTTCCGCTGAGGCTTGTCGTAGTCCTTCCAGCCGAAGCGACGGCCGCCGCCGCCACGGCCACCGGCGTTATTCCGTCCACCGCGCCCGCTGTCGTAGCCACCCCGGCCTCCACCACGGCTGCTGAACTGTTGACGTCCACCGCCACGGCTGTCCTGTCCTCCTCGGGCACCGCCACGCTGGCCACGGCCGCCACGTGTGAAGACGGCGCCGCGGCCGAATCGGGACTTGCCGCTGTCGCGAACGTTGGAGACGACGGAGAAGGAGGATTCGTCTTGCTCGACAGCCGGTGCTGCGAAGAGGGAGGCGCTTGCAGAGCCGTAAGTCTGTTGGTCTGAAGGGAGATGTTGGTGTCAGCAAGGTGGAGCTCAGTCGAGTCCAGCATGGTCAAGCAGTCGGCGGTGATGCCACCTGTAGGAGGGCGCACCTCTGTAGTTCCTATTGTACTGGGCCCGTCCTCCACGACCATCGCGGCCATCCTTGCCATCGGCAGTCCAGTCGGCCATGCGACCCAGCTTGTCGCCCTTGGAGAAGGGGGCGTATGGGACGCCATTCAGGGTGGTCTCTGTCGTGACTGGGGGCCCCCATCCGTCGCCGTCGGGCAGCGCCGCGATGATGTCGGCGATCGATTTCGACATCGTGGGTATTGTGTACTATCAAGCAGGTTGATACGATGCACTTAAAATCTGGGCAGGGTGAATTTTAAGTTGGTAGGTGTGCCGTATCGTTGCTGTCGGTCGAGTTCGCCCGCGTCTGTTGCCGCCTTAGATGGTCGGTGGTTTGTGCAAATTCGTCAAAAGCTGCAGAAATTCCATGTTTGGTGGGGTCCGGCCTAGCGTAGCAGCCTTGGCGGGTCCTACTATGGAAGGCGGCCAGGAGCTTGTCCAAGGGCTTCTTTCCTGATCCCCGCATGACTGGAGGAGCGTGTCTTCCCAACCCAACCTGCCTTGGAAACAGGCATTCCCTCAGGGTTAGGTGTCCTGGAATCGCCTCTCGTTTTGTTGACTGCTTCTGCTGTCGAGCCATCCATCTAATCTGTTTCCCTCGGAATGCAACCGAACCACTTCGAAAAACCTCAAAGACTGCACCGGCCTATGGGTTTGAAGGCAGTAATCGTACCCACAGCCGGCGGAGACATCGGTAGCTCGGCACAAATGAGGTGGGCTCCGGGTAGGGTGAAGAATTGATTTAAACTTTATGTACTACGTGTACGAGTTTCTTGGGATTTCATAAGCTATTGCGACTTTGCTGCTCATCAATTCTGCCTCTGAATAAACAGGCAGTCCTTGCATTCTTGAGGGAGTTTGCATTTCTTCCAGTGGTCCAACTCCCTGTCTAGCTTTCCGAGGGCACCATCTGGACATTGTCGCCTCCTCCACGCCTGCCACCGATGGCCCCTTGGCTCTAGAAGTTCCATGCGCCTCTTCTCCAAGATTTCTAGAAGTTCCATGCGCCTCTTCTTCAAGATTTCAACGCAGTGCCTTCCTGCCGTAGTCTTGCGCAACAGTACTGGTTTGAGAAGCTCCACCCGTAGCTGAACAATCATCTGGGAGCTCGAGGAAACCGCCTGGCGCAATAACTCTTCGGCTTTTCTGCGCGGTAGTAAGTCCGTCACTTCTGTCCCGGATATTTTCTCTTCCCAAGTCGAACAGAGACCCCGGATGTCGCCGGGGAGTACAGCCAGAAGGCTGCCGGCAACCAAGAATTTTGGGGCCTCGCGTTCCGGGGGCATCCCAAGGATCTTGCTCCATGATTGCAAATGGAGTTCATGCGTTTCAACTTCTGCCGCTGCCTGGGAGCCATTGACAGGGTACACAAAACTCGAGACTCTGTCGGCGCCTTTCCTGGTCGGTATTATAAGGCACCTATCAGCGAGGCTCCTCGGCCACAGTTTTAGTTGAAAGGGGGATGCTTCAAAGTTGTCACTCACATGTTACTTATCTCGACTGCAATCTTTGCCAGTACATGACCATCTATCAAGAATTGATCACAGAGACACGGAAGTCTTAGAAAATATGCTTCAGAACCACCAAAAAGAAGTCTGTCGCAGCGGTGAACGGTCGTTTCCTCGTTGGGAGTGTGAAGGCAAACTTGACGCTCAATGCATGTCTCCATCACACTTTCAATGAACTGACACCAAATTTAGTCAGTTCTAGGTCACCATCGATGAAGAAAGAAGACTTAGGAATTGTACTTCGTTTTACCCAGAATCTCTCTGCCCTCCAACGCTAACAGGATTCATTAGTCGAATTCCTTCCTGGGGTTGATCATGGTACGGTACCTACAATATGGCGGACCTTACCGGGCCTTGCCTCTGCTCTTCACCCTCTAGCATCATATTCTTCGTCAACGACATGACGTTTCAATGATTTTGGATAACACGTTGATTTGAGCAGTTGGCAACTGGGCTCCAATAGGGCTTGTGTCAGACTACCTGGTAGTTGCTCCACGATTAATTGAACGTCCGAGGTAGTTGTAGCGTCTTATGTTGTTTGGAGCCACCGATATGCACTTATGAGTAAAAATGCTTTGCTTTGAGGATTGAGTGCCTGCCCACGCCCTTCTAGCCTCAGCTGAACTTCCTTTGTCGTTTATAGGCCACCAAGGCAAAGTGGCGCCCCAATCACGACCCAAGTATCAAATCATCCGACTACATCTGCTGCTGTGGCGGTGGCTGGTAGTGCTAGCCGACTGCCCGTCTTCTGCCATATGGGCCAGAAACGACACGTCCAATTGCATTTATATCTCACGGGTTAAAAGGCGCTGAGCCGATTTGTTCCACCATGATGCCTGACCTGCCCGTACCCACCTGGGCACAGCGCCGCACCTACCTATACTTGACCTGTCAGCTCCTGAAATTTGGGGCGGTGAACGACCGCAAGTGTTCATTTTGTCAACGCATACTCGATTGAAAGTTGACTCAGCTAGTCACATGTTGTCGAGGTAGTGTATTGAATTAACGGAAGCATTGCGCAGCTTGAAAACACTGTCAAAGGTCGGTCAGCCTAAACCAACCATTACATTCGATCTTTGCTTCTCCCCATTTCATTTCATCCTCCGATTGGAATGACCAAGTGACCAGGTGGTTTAGGATTGAGCGACGAATGAGAGATTCTTACCCACAATTTGCTTCCGGAGTCATCGACGGATCTTTCGCGCTATTTCACATCTCTTCCTGCGCCATGTCTTCGTCAAACACAACAGAGATGATCTGTGTAGGGCATGAAATAGGACCTGATGTTCATCATACCGAGAATCCAAGGGTTCCAGCCGATTTCTGCCCCGACCCTCCGGAGGATAACGTCAAGTATCGGGATGATCTCGAGATAGATAGCCCTGGTGTCGAAAGCCAGTTTTACCAGGCCATCACCACCCAAACGTCATGGACAGCAGAACGTGGACGAGTTGCAGTCCTTCGAATGTCCCATTCTGTCTCTCAGGATGACGGGGCACTGCATGTGGAAGGCCTGACGCTGAGGAAAATTGCATGGCGAGCATTGCAAGATCCCTCTTCACCCCCACACAGGCCCAATTCAGCTTTCAACACTTCAGAGTCATCAGAAGCCCCGGAAGGACTTGTTTTCGAGGATTTAAATCATTTCAAAAAAGCTTTGGGGGCACTTACGCTCCGCTATGACGCAGCAGGAGTGCCTCGATTCTTCAAAAAACAGCTAATCGTTCTCGAAGATCTAGGCCAAGATTGGGTCAAGACCCTTGGAAAAACTTTCCAAATACCCGCTCGCGTATTTGCACTCCACTGGGCTTCCCCCAGTCTTTACGAGCGCGGTAGAGCTCGCCTTCCACTTGGCCAGCCAGCGGAGGAGCATTTTGTTCTACCATACTCGGAGATTCTACGTTATGATATCAGAGACGGTATGATACTGGCTTCTTGAAATTAGCCCAATCGATTTCCGATTCAGCTTACAAGTGTCTAATCTGACATTAATGATTTTAGAAAGTGGGCATTGCAAGCTTGACTGCTCTGCAGTCAGATTTATGAGTTCAGAGATGCAGCAAGATCAAAAGGAAAACCAAACGAGCCACCAGGAAGTCGAAGCTTCAAATACAATTTGTGAGGCTGCGATCAGTTATTGGGGTCGCCTGGACAGCCACGAAGAGTGGACAGGTAAATATTAACCAACATATGATTTCCTGGATTGCACATTAATGTCGTCATTGTCAAGCAATTCTCCTCGTGGACCCTCAATTCCAATCAAACTCTGCATGTGCTCAACCACATCGATGCAATATTGTGCGGGCGAATGCGCAAGGGAAAACAATCGGCGAACTTCCGGCTCTCCCACGGGGCTATGACAGAACAAAACTTCTAGATCAGAATCCTCTATTGCGCAGTCCTTATAATGAACTTCGCTGGAGGCCCGTAATCTTGAAGGCTGCGATGAATGAGGATTCAAGTTCCATCCAATGGACACCAATTGACCTTGATGGTAAAAACGGTAGATATACCGGCACTCGGACAGCCCAAGCACGTACGAAGCGTACTATTCAGGTTCTCGGCGGACCACCGCAGGATATTGAGATGGTTTCAATGGGAAGCAATTTCCGATCAACACGACACGATCAATCTCTGCCTATATTCGACCAGATCCTGAGAGCCCCTCCCCCCATACCGAACTTCCATCCGGTTCACGCCATCAAGTTCGTTCGGCGCATCGTCTTGGCTAAGATGGCCCTCATTGTGGACCCTTTCCTACGGCAAACATACTCACTGACGGTCAAGGCAATGCAGAATATATCGAATATAGCAGATTTTGACCCCCAACGGCTAGGTGAGAAACCTTGGCAAGATGAGTGGAGATCAGAGTTCTTCAATAGACTGTGGGAACTTCGTGGAAATATTGACCTCCTTGGATTCGACATGGGAAACACAATCCGCGTCTTCTCCGAACTTGCTGACGACACGAGCTGGCCGGAGATGCAAAATATTGACATTGCCGGTGGCGGAAGATGCGGCAACGACAGACAACCCAGCCATACCAAGATCCGAGATCAGGATGTGGATGATTTGAAAGAATGGGAGAATCTTGAAGCTACCAGGGAGTATGCCGCAGGCTTCATCGAGCGCACAACAAATTCTTACCTCCAAGCCGCTACAGCGGAAGGGGCAAAGTTTTCCAATGTTCAGGCGAAGACGTATTATGTGTTGCAACAACATCACCCATCCCGGATTTGTCCTGACAGTGTCAGAATGCTAATGAGGCGTCACAGTTCCAAGAAGATGACATTGTGAGGCTCGAGCGGACTCTTCACGTGTGTCCCATTATGTCGCTCTTGACCATACTGACAAAAGTTATGCATTAGTCTGGCTACACTTTTCGTGCCAGCGAGCCTCTGTGCGACTGTTCTGTAAGTTTGGAATATTTCCAACGAAAAGCCTCCGGAGTACTTTACTCAAAATGGGCTGCACTTCCTGACCACATTTGAACTAGTGCATTGCCCGGTTATTCTGGAGCGCAAGGCACTACAAGATTCTGGTATGTACCTATGATGTGGTGGGTGTACTTGGGTTATTAAAAACCTCTCGTAACTAACAAACAAGCAGGCTTTTCTGGGTTGTGAGTGTGCCTATTGCACTTGCATTAGCAATCACTCTGCTGTTCAAGGACATACGCACATATATCATATCAATGAGCATTGGAAGAAGGACGAGTCCAAGAAGGAGGAACCCTCAAAACGGCCTCGTGGCGTGAGAACGAGATTTCCTTTGATTTTCCGTAACACTGGAAGGAGAGACGAGGAGAAAATTACGTAGCTGAAAAGATTTGATTGGATTGGCTCAATATAGTCATGATGTGTGGGTGCTGCCGCTCAAGGGACCAATCCCTGACTTCTAGTTTCTCAGCTGCATTTTGCTACCATAGTCTTCTGGCACATGGTAGCCGCCACTTCAAGTTTATGCCTCGAGCATCGAAGCCAAACCAAATGCCGCAGCCCGCTGAGCGACCTCGCTCCAACTGCTCACCAAACAAACTCCCGTAACATTCAGTACGCGGAATTCGTCGTCCGTCCAACCCCTTGTTTCTGATGAGTTGCGTGATCGGAACGCAAGACCAAAACCCGAGCCTTCGTTCTGACCAACGGGAAGAATCTTTTGAGGACAAGCTGTCCCGTGCCATTGCGCAGGGGGCCAGGCAGAATAGGACCCACACGGCGTTCTAGCAGTCTCCAATGCTACTAGAATAAGAACCAAGGCCATCATAACCGAGATGACAATTGTATAAATCTTATACCAGAGCATTGACGCGCAAGGAATGATCGTTGTCGTGTTCGCGCCGCGGATGAAGTAGTAGAGGAGGATCAGGGACGAGCAGCCGAAAACGACGAGATAGAAGATGACCATGGTAAATGCTGAGGCAGGCATGATCCATCCTATCCATTCACGGTCATGCCAGAAGGACCAAGGTGCCGCGTAGATGATGCAGAATGCTGTCAAGGCCAACAGCGGAAGGATCCAGCAGATGCGCAAGACCCTGCTCGACCATCGGGACGTCGGAAAGAAACGGGACCCGTGATGCTCAGCTGCCGCTGGGTGGTCCAGGAAACTATCTAGCGATAGTCTCCCAGCGACCTCAATCTGGGTCTCCGGGACCGAAAGCTTGTTGTTGTCGTAGACGGTCTGTCGCTCTGGCAGGACCCTCCGATGGCCAACCGCGGTCGACCCCGGGTCCGAAACATCGATAAAGGCGAAGTTGTCAGTGATCCAAAACGCAGCGCAGAATATGTACAGGCCGAGGCAACCGATAGGCAGGAACATATTGTCCAGGGCGAATCGAAAAATGTAATTTGAAGTCCCGGGCCCAAACAGGCTACCCCCTATGCTGTAGAAAGCCTGTGCGGCTTGGAGGCCTACAACGACCGTCTTGATCATTTCCCAAGAGGCGATTTCGGTCCTGGCATGGGCGGGCAGGCGTGAGCAGAAGGACAAGCTCTGTTCGGCTACCTTCTCGGAGCCGTCCCAGCCGGCGTCCGTCCAGAACAGGGCATTGGCAGCTGCTATGTCAGCCACATCCCAGTGTTTCGCCCTTAGTCTCCTGTCCGTGACTGCAAAGTATCTCCAAAGAATAGAGGTGGGATTGTAGTGACAGAGTAGATCGTGCCATTTTGGGAGGCGACGTCGTGTGAGGTAAGATGGCTGAGGCGCACCAGCAGCTACGTGAGCGACCAGTGGAGCTAGGCAGAGGGTGACCAGGGAAATCCAGTCAGAGAAAGATATGTCCCGGCTTTGATAAGTGAGAGGTAAGATGGGCATGATGCAACTCAGCACTTGAGGATGTTGAATATGCCCTGCTGCTAGAAATCGAAGGTCATGTGCAAACTGATCTAAGTTTTGCAAAGCTAGAGCATTAAGAGACAGGAGGACATTGGTCTTGGTATGTGTTTGAGTGTCCCAAGTCCTGAAAGTCTTGGGGCATTTCCGAAGTCGGATATTCCTTCAGGATGCGTAGATCAGCTTACTTTGACAATTGTGTCCCGCCCAATCACAATGAAAGTAGAACATGTGTGGTTTCACGGCATCGAACGTTACCTGCACACTGCCACAGGAGGCAGTACAGATGTAGACTGGCGCTAACCCCAAGGCCATTGAATCCCCACTCCACCACTCCTTCCGGGGGACTGGGGCCTGAAAAGAAAATGGTAAAATCCATTCTGCCATGTTTACTAGATAGGTACTTCATATGCTCGCGTGCACTTGGATAACGATTCTTGAGGGATTTTATTTTGGGAAACAAATAACACGCCCCTGGGCAGACCGTCAGTGCCCGCTTCCTGGAAGATGGGCTCTTGACCGACCTCATTACAAAGAAACTGATATCTCGACAACTTTTGGTGCGAGCAACGAACGGTGACCGAGCAGGTGGGTGAGCAGAGCATATCAGATTAATTTCCCGTTTATTGAATGGTCAGCTTCTCTACCAACGTGAGGTCTCACGCCGGTCCCACTACGCTGTGTTTGTCGGGGCGCTTCTAACAACCCCTTGCTCGACCTTATTTTGGAATGCGCTCAGCCCTAGTGGGTCGGTCTGGTCACAAGAATACGAAAGACCATGCGTTACGGGATGGCTTCCCAACCCCCAGTACACAATTGATAAAGCAGAGTATACTACTCAGACGTGTTCCGGCTTCTCAAATCTGGCTTCAACTCTTGACTAAATTGCAGACACCAGCTAATTCAGCCAATGGCTTGAGGACCTGCAACCCGACCATCTCCTCGTAGATGAGCACTGCGATGGCTACGTGATTGGGATAATCTCTCTGATATCTGTCTTCTACGCCACCTTAATACAGAACTTCCTAGATCAAGAAGCGCAATAATACGATACTTGAAACTTAATCATTGTGTTATACTTCTTTTGTGAGCAACACACATATGATATTAATCCCCTTACAAGCCTGCAGGGGTTGATCCATAAGCTCGCCACTCAGCTTATATTAGCATAGTGAATGGAGGGTACGTACTGCGTACGTACGTCTTTAAAAAAGGGTGTCCTCTGGGGCCCCTTCTGCACCCAGAATTTATCCATACGCCCACTTCGAATACAAACAATCGAATGCTTTCCGGTCTTTCCTGCTACAATATGTGTGTGTGTGTGTGTGTCTGTGAAGGCGGAGGCTATTCGCAGATCGGAAGGTTTGTTAAAAGCAAGCTAATTCTTAATGAGCAGCAGCAGTGGTGCTCTGCACAACTAATCGCCCGGCCCCCTCATGGTTCAGCAACTCAGCATCGTGACTAAAGAGCCACTTGCGGCGGTCGTCATAGCCCCAGAAGATGGGGTTCTGTTCGTTGTTGATCTTGATCTCCTCGTCGCGCTTCCGCTGCTCGGCCCCGTCCTCTATATGCAGGATGTGCTGGTGCTCACGCGTCTTGGCCTGGATGAGAGAAGCACGGGGCATGCGGATCTCTTCATAGCGCTTCAGGCCCTCTCTGAGGGGGATATCGAGAGCGAGACATTGTCGAAGAACGGCAGCGTCCTCGAAGCACTGCGCAGCACCCTGCGCCAGGTAAGGGAGCATGGGATGACAGCTGTCGCCGAGCAGGACGGCCTTGCCAGAAGGGTGGACCCAGCGGGTAAGGTCGGGCAAGTCGCAGAGACGCCACTTCATGAACTCGCCTGTGAGTGCGCAGAGCTTCCGGACACGGGGCTCCCACTTGGAGAAGCGGCTGCACAGTTCGCGGTTGTCGCCCTTGACGACCCAGACCTCGTCGGTCGTCTCGTTGTGCGAGGTGGCGCAGACGACAACGTTGTACATCTCGCCGTTGCGGATCGGGTAGGCGACCAGGTGGGCGTCGGGACCACACCATGAGGTTGTGCAGGGGTCGTTGATGAGGTCGGCCAAGTCGTCGTCGGCCAGTAGCTTCTCTCCTGGAATCAAGATGCGGTAGGCAACATCGCCAGTATCACGGGGGATGTCGGGTTGGCCGGTCAGCAGCGGACGGGCGACCGACTTGATGCCGTCGGCGCAGATGACGAGGTCGGCAGCGAAGACTTCGCCGTCCTGAGTGGTGGCACTCGGAGCTTCAAAGTCGTACGAGACGACGCGCTTGTTGTTGAGGATTTCAACCCCGGCCTTTTGGGCGGCCTCGAGAAGGGCGGCGTGTAGGTCGGCACGGTGGACCAGATAGTAAGGAGCACCGTGGATCTCGACAATATTTTCAAAGGGCAGCTCGACCATCGTGGAGCCGTCCTCCCACCGAAGAAACTGGTAACGGCTTGAAGTCGACTTCTTCATGCTCTCGACGCCAACGCCCCAGCGCATCAACAGACGACTCGAGTTTGGGGGGACGCGAATACCCGCGCCAGCCTCGATGGAAATTTGTCAATAACTAGGTCACGGCTATGAATCAGGTAAGAGAAATTGGATACTAACCTCCGCAAACTCAGGGACGGCGTCGATAACGCGGACTAAGTGACCATCGGTTTGCAGGGCCAGGGCGGTGGCAAGACCGCCGAGGCCACCTCCGACCACGAGGACGTTGAGAGCTCGTGCTACGTGAGGCATCTTTATAAACGTCAAAAGTATGGACTCCCTTTGTTTGATCAGAGGTTCTTTGGGCAGTAAAGAAAGAGGGTAGACATGGTCCGTCTCGAATCCTGTCAATTCGTCCGTAAACTACCAACGCCCAGCATAAAGATACAATAAGACTGGCCGGATGCTCGTCGCCCCTCACGCGGGCCCCGATGCCCCCAAGGACGAATTACGGGAACCATTGGTAATTCAGGCTTATCTGATCGCGGCATCTTGCAGGTTCAAGTTGCAGATCCAATGTCCCCCCACACACACTGCAAGCACGATTCTTCGGAGTCACGCATCCGGCTTTCCCCACTCCCATCGGTCATTCATCTCTTGGACTTGCGTGCTTCCAGGCGAGGTTGGATCGTCATACCTCGCAAACATTTACGAATGATCAAGACCAAAGCAGATCGATCATCCATGCACGCCGCCGACTGCCATTGCCGCAGTCTGTCTCATCTCTCCAGAAGAACCCCGACTCTTCCAGTCGTGGAAAAATGCGCAGATGATGAAAGACACCGCGCGTCCATATCATTCTTCATCTCTCTATGTTTCCCCTGAGGTGAGAATGAGGTAAGCTGACGCTCGTGGTTGATCATTCGTTGCTCAAGTCCCAGAAAGACCTGTCACTTGGATTTACTCCCCTCTGTCGTCTTTCTTCTGACTTTCTTACTCCAACGAGCTGCTGCGCTGTAGTACTCTATGACGGCCCCAGAAACTCAGCCCCAACGGCCTTCTCTGGGCCTTCGAGGAGCAAGACATTCATCATGTCGAAAGCGTTGCCGCTGATGGATCCGGCGACCAACACCGAAACAGATCCGGTTGAGGCCAAGAGAATTCTGCGCGAGGTTGACTGGCGCATCATCCCCTTGCTGCAGTTTCTCTACATGCTGACTTTTCTCGACCGAGTCAACATTGGAAACGCTCGACTCTGGAACTTGGAGAAAGACTTGGATATGAGCGGCTACCAGTACAACATTGTCGTACTCGGTGAGTTGCGCGAACCATTTTCATCGATAAAAAGGCATTAACTAAGCCACATATAGTCTTTTACATCCCTTACATCATCCTCGAACTGCCTGCGAACTACGTCTTCAACCGTGTCGAGCCTCGCAAGTTCATAGGTGTCATCATGTTCGGATGGGGCTGTAAGAACAACCTCTCTCTCATCCCATTTCCAAGTCCAAGTCATCCTTCTGGTTCAATTATCACTTTTCAGTAGATCGACCTTGAGCCACAGTACGTATTGTACTCGGTTTCCAATCCAGCAGGCAGATCAGTATTCCTTTTGGCCAATAGCCACGTTTTCACAATAGTGAATTGGGAAAAGCCCGTGGGAGTAATGTATCGTAGTCCAGTCGTATTCACGAAATCAGATGGATTTTCCCACTCTGTTGAAACACCCAAGGCTAACGTCTCCCGTACAACCACGATAGTGACAATCACATTTGCTGGATTCTGCCACAACTTTGCCGGACTGCTCGTTTCCCGCATCTTCGTCGGCATCTTCGAGTCCGGCATGTTCCCCGGCTGCATGTACCTGATCTCCGGCTGGTACAGGCGGCACGAGCTGCTCACCCCCATGGCCTTCTTCTTCGTCGCCAACGACATCGCCGGCACCATCTCGGGCCTGCTGGGCGCCGGCCTGGGCTCGCTCGACGGCGTGCGAGGCATCTCGGGGTGGCGGTGGATCTTCTTCATGGAGGGGACCGTCACGTGCCTGGCCGCCCTGCTCGCCTGGGTCTATGTCCCGCCCTTCCCGGAGGACAGCACCTTTCTCACCGAGGCCGAGAAGCAGTGGGCCATCCGCCGGCTTCAGGCCGACAACCGTGGCATGCCGCACGACAAGATGACGGCCAGGGGCGTCGTCGACTCGCTCAGGGACTGGAAGGTCCTCAGCAGCGGCGTGCTGTACTTGGCCGTCTGCACGACTGCGTACTCCATCTCCGTCTTCCAGCCCACCATCTTGCGTACCTTTGGATGGGGCGACCTGAAGTCGAACCTGCTGTCTGCGCCGCCTCGTGTTGCTTCTGGCATCGTCTCGGTTGCTCTTGGGATCTGGTCTGACCGGATCCAAAGGCGAGGCATCTTCTGCGTCTTTGGCTTTTCTCTCAGCATCATAGGTTTGTTCCTTGTGATGTTCTTGACTGGCGCGATGAGATACATCGGTATCTACTTTGCTGCCATTGGCATCTACATTGTTCAGCCTCTCTCGATTTCATGGTGGTAAGTCTGCCGCACAGTAAGCCATTCCTATGCATTTAGAACGTCTCAGTAATATCTCTTTTTTTTTTTTCCAACGTAGTGCCAATCAAGTCACGAGCTCGACGAAGCGAGGTACCATCGCTGCTTATGCCGGATCAGTTGGCCAGCTGGGTGGCATCATCTCGGCTGTCGTCTTCCCTTCCAAGGACGGGCCCCAGTACGTCCCCGGTATTTCTACATGCATCGCGTTCCAGATTTTGGGCATCATTGCCGCCGCCAACATGTGGATCTGCTGTGCATACGAGAATAGGCAGCGCGATCTTGGAAAGCGAGACTATCTCCGTCAGCTGCCTCAAGAGGAACAGGACAAGCTTGGCGAGAACCATCCCGACTTCCGCTATACTCTATAAGATTAACACGTCGTAGACGCGCCTTCGGAGACCTTAGGCCTATATTAATCTCAAAAATGAAGAACGGACCCTAGCTTTGGAGTACTTCCAAGACAATTTTCTTTGCCTTGCTGAATAAGCATCCAGATGTCAGCCGGGCCATCAATACAAGTAAGTGGGCGTCTAGGGCTTGTCGGCTCTGTTGGAATTCTTCCCCTACTGTGTGTTTTCTGGCTCGCCTGAACCTGCTATAACAAGACATTTCACAGACTGCACAAGTGAAAGGCACATGTTTTGTTCGAGATGGTACACATTTAGTATCTATTTTATATACTACCATCAGGTATCCAAACAAATAAACAATCAACTAGTCTGATGGAAAAAACAATCAAGCCCTCTTCTCGGTGGGCGTGCTGCTCCCATCAGCGCTGTCAATCACGGAGCTTCTCGTCGACCTTTTCACTCGTCAACACGCCGTTGCCCGATTCAGTACCGCCGACAGCCCCGTCGCGCGAGCTGGTGCGCTGGAAGTAGGCGTGCGCCTCGTCGGTGAACTCGTCGTCGGCCAGGACCTGCTCGCCCTTGAGCTCCTTCTCGCGCTTCTCGGCCTCCTGCGCCTCCCAGTCGCGGCGCAGGTCCTCGATCTTCTGCTTCAGGTCGAGGTCCGGGTTGTAGTGCTTGCCGACGCCCATCCAGCGCTCCCACAGGCTGAGGTGGTTCGGGTGCACCGCGATGCCGTGGTACTCCTCCTCGCGGCCCTCGAGGATGTACCGCCACCGCCGCTCCTGCTCCTTGAGGTCCAGCCCCGTCGTGTCGGGCAGCCACAGCCACGTCATGACCATGCCCGCGAGGCCGAACCAGGGCACCACGTAGAATCGCATCTGCGTGTCGATGTAGTTGTACAGCACCGAGGCCAGCAGCGCGCCGGCCTTGCCCATGCACGCTGAGAAACCATGCGCCGACGCGCGGACAGGCGTGGGGAATACCTCGGCGGCCACCAGGAAGGTGACGGCGTTGGGGCCGAACTGGTTGAAGAAGGACGACAGGTAGTACATGGCCTGGAAGGAGTGGATACCCGCGGGCGAGGTGTAGTAGTCGAGCTTGAAGGCCGGGATCACGAAGGTCAGGAAGCACACCAGGAAGCCGATCTGCTGCATGTTCTTGCGGCCGTACAGCTTGTTGTCGATCAGGAAGGACGCCAGGTAGTAGCCAGCGAGAGCGACGATGATGTTGTACAGGTTCCAGATCCAGTTGGTCATGACCGACTTGGAGTTGTCGCTGATGACCTCGATGAATTGCGACTGGAACAGCTTGTTGCCGTAGAAGAAGACGTCGTTGCAGAACCAGCAGCCGGCCGTGGCCAGCAGCCGACCACCAAAGTACTTGAAGGTCAGGCGCAGCGAGTTGACGTCGTAGCCCGTGACCTTGTTCTTCTTCTTGGCGATCTGCAGCTGCCGCGATGCCTGGGGCATCTTGTAGGCACGGTAGTAGGCGAGCCAGAGGGTGCCGACGGCGGGGATGGCGAAGGACAGGCGGAAGACGACCTGGGTGCTCTGCGCACCGTAGGGGCCGTCGCCCTGGCCGTGGTGGAAGATGAGCAGCAGGATGATCAGCAGGGCCTGGTTGGCGAGCTGGCCCCAGCCCTGCATCAGGAAGGCGGTGGTGACCTTGCGGCCACGGTGCAGGCGGTCCTCGCGGGTTGAAACCTTTCCGGCCCCCACAGCACCTTCCATAGAGGACGTCGCGGTCATTGGGTACTCGCCACCGACACCGAAGCTGTAGACGAACAGGGACCAGGCGTAGCAGATGACCCAGCCCTCAAGGGTGGTGCCCCAGGAGGCGGTAAGCATGACGAGACCGAGAACCATAATGAGCGCATCCTGAATCAGACCGAACCGCCGACCAACCCAGTCACCGATAATCTGCAGAAGAGAGGTCAGCGAGGTGCTTTCTCCGAAAACTGTACGAAAAGAGTGTTTCGAGTACTCACACCGACAGCAACTTGACCGACCATGATACCGACAACCTCGAGGTAGGTGACAGCGGCGATCCAGTTTACAGAGCACTCGCCGTCGTCCGTCTTGCTACCCCAGCACTCCTTCCAGCCATCCGTGGCGGCGAAGTAGCTGCTCAGGTTTCCGATTGAGAACAGGACGTAACCCTCGAGGCCAAGACCGGCCCCTGGAAGAATGGCGTTGTGCCAGTACCAGCTCAGAGGGCTCAGAGGGTCCTTCTTCATCATGGTGCCGATCTGGGACAGCTCCTTCTTGGCCTCGGCATTGTCGACCGAGGTGACGAACTTGATGCGCTTGGACAGTGGCAGGTCGGCCCAGTAGACGCCCTCTGGTGTGTAGCTGTCGTCCGGATGTGTGATGTAGTTGAAGATCTGGCGCTCCTCGTCGGAGGTGACGCCGGCGTGGGGCGGGTAGTTGTAGCCCTCATCGCCGGTCTCCGGCCCGTGGGGCACGGGGATCTGCCCTGTGGAGGGGTTGTGGTGTTTGTCGTGGGCGAGGAAGTTCGACATGTTGGCGGTTGGGGAGGAGAGGCGGATATATATGGAGGGGTTGGAGAGGGGGGGGGGTTCCAAGGGTGTAATGTGCGCGCGCCCTCCTGGCTGCCGCTCCCTGCGACAGTGATGGTGTCGAGGTGGTGTGAAGGCCTTGGGGGGAAGACCCTTGAGTCAAAGATGGGCGAGAGAAGCCTCAGAGGGAGAGCGGTGGTCTTGGCTGCAGAGCTCAGGAAAAAAGAGCCGACGCGAGGGTAGAGAACGGGGAGGATGGGAGGTTTTTAAGAAAGACGGGCAGATGCGGCGACTGGCCCTGGTCTAGCTGGGCGAGGCGGAAGGGTGGCCCCTCGCGGAGCTGGAGCTACGTGCGGTCCAGGATGCCAGGAAGTCGGCTGGCCGGTAGTATACGGTGCGATGCGACGAGTGGGTGAGGTGAACCCTGGAAAATAGTAAAGGAAAAAGGTTCACTGTGTAGGGACCCCACCAGCAGGCACAGGGGCTCCACAGAATAGGTGAGAAAAGTGGAGCGTCGCGATGGAACGAGGGCCAGAAGCTGCACCGAGCTCAAGCGAGGCAAGCTGCTGCGCGGTGGCTAAATGGAGCCGTGCAGACCGATTGGGAGGCACAATTGTGGGCGATTACGAGCTGGAACGACGACGTGGACATGGCGACGCTTTTGGCTTGAGCCTGACCGACAACCGGGGCATTTTTCTCGCTGGCTTTTTTGGTCTAGAAATTGTCAGGCGTCCGTCCTTCTGATCGACGGGAACAAGCACAAGCCCTAGCGGAGCTAGGAGCAAGTTGGAGGTTAATCAAGAATCGCAGTCAAATCGGCACACGGCTTGTTTCTGCCAAGGGGGTTGGCGCCGAAAGCTTGTTGCCGGCGGTGCGGCAGCGACGGACTGATGTCACTCTGGCAGGTCTGCCTCGGTGTCTCTTTCTGGCATCCAACCATCTTGGCCACGACCCTGAACGAACTCTGAACGCGCGTTGGCAACACCGCAGATGAGATGAGGCGAGAATCCAATGATGGCTTGGGTCTCTGCCCGATGATTGAGCCATCTCGATCCAAGCTTGAAATCATCCAGTTCAGCTCGGTCCAACCCAAAATCGAGGCATTTGTCTCGACTACTGTGTATGCTTTCGCCATGGCCAGCAAGACGAGTGGTCCTGTCGTCGAGACACGCGTCTAATCGACGACACCTCAGTGGACAGCAGATAGCTTAACATGGCATCTAAAGCCATCCAAGTGCTGAGTGATCTGCCTGGGTAAAACGCCTCCTTTTCCACCAGATCACCAAGTCCCATCTGGGGTCCAGCAACCCTGATCCCTTCCCCATAACCACCACCATGCCTATTCATATCATAATATCCATCCGTCCCGATGCCATGGTAAGAAAAGCATGGCACGTACCTACCACGTTGATACTAGTACACTACGGTAGTGCAGCGCGCAGTCGTACAGGCAGAAGCACAAAAATGCCCAATCAGCTCCTGATTCATGAACAATGGATTGTTTCTAAACTCGGCCAGCCCTGTGTTTCGAACGAGGACCAGAGGAACCTCAAAACTCTGTGCGCCCAGTCATCCGGGAGCCAATTTGAGCCGAAGCCATGCGCCATGCGCCAACCTGCGGCCTGTGGTCGGTCTACGGCCCACCTTGGCTGCAGGTGATTGATCTTATTCGTACACAAATGATTTGCAGGACGAATTGACTGTGACTTTCGATTCGATATCGGGATCACGACAGATCCACGGCACAACCTTATCGAATTTTGGCCACTGCGACACGCACAGTGCCAGTAATAAAGTGCCGCAGTGTGTCCTGCCCCGACCTGACATGACTGACCGCACGACGCTCGCTGCAAAAAAAGCAGAAGGTACGTACCCGCGGCTGCCCTGCCCCACACAATCTCTTCAGCAGGGAGTCCCTGCACCAACCTGCAGGCTGGCAGCCCCCCTCCCGCCTTCTGCTGCCAGGGGCCAGCTGGCTCCTTCCCTCATTCGGGGCTTGGAGGTGGGGGATCGCCCAGCCGCGCATTGCCCAATCACAAACCTTAAATGACCACACGTGCGCCGTTGACAGGACGTCCGAGCTCGACGACATCTCGTCGCTTCCCCGGCTTTACTGTTCGTAGGCCACCACCGCCCCTGGGGACGTGTGACGATGCAACCACCGAGGCTCCCTCTCCGGTACGGCGGAAGCAGCAGCGCAGTGCATGCATTCGTTCGTCCCACCCTGCCTTTCCTGCTTCGGCTTTAAGACGGCCTGGAGGCTGCGACGCGACGACACGGGGACACTTGCCTGAGGGGATGGATGCAGGAATCTGACATGTTGCTTCCGAGGGGGGGGGGGGAATGGCGCGACAGACGACAGAGAGGTACGGAAGGCACGATACTTGCATCGAGGCGAGGTCGGTGACATGCCGTCTGCGTCAGAATTGGACGCGACGGGCAAGATGGGCAAGAGATGGGCAGGATTGACGGTGCGAGCTGGACCGAGTCGAGCTGGATGTGCCCAGATGTTTGCCCAGCCGGATGTCCATCCCTCTCCACTGCTTGACGTCTATCACAACGGCGAGCCAAGAGCCAAGAGAGCCACAAAGCTTGACCTGACATCGTCGATAGAGCTACAAGCATTGCTTGATCGTGCCCGCCGACGCACCGGACCATCTCTCTGCTCTGGTGGTGGGCATGGGGAAAGCATACTCGAGCGACCAACTTGTCCTGGTCACCGAGCAGCATCATCGAGGTAGCATCCCTCAAATCGATGCTGCATCTGCGCCTGGATCTGCGTTGCCTGCAGCGTTGGCGCGGATGCATGGGGGTTACTTTCGGGTGCCAGTCAGGCAGGGCATGCATAGGTCGGTAGGTCATGGGCAGGCGGTGCTCGACCTCGAGCGCCAGGGGCGGGCAGTCATGCACATCATGCATGAAATGATGTCCCCGATCCCCTGAGACCGGGCGCCCCGTCGAGACAGGCGAGTCTCACCGCGTCGGAGTCGGCGCCCGGCGAGAGCATGAATTTCGCCTCCGGGGGCCCGGGGGGAGGTATTGAACGTCTACGCCCTCGCCGACGGTTCTGAACTCCTCTCCCTCGTCCCCAATCCGTCTCCTTCTCTCTCGCTGCCGTCTTTGCCTCTATCTGCCGCAGCAGTCCTGAGGCATTGATGACTCGGACACTTGAAGTTGGCCAGACGGCTGGAAAAGGCAACTAGTCACACGACACTTGTTGCATTCCGCCAAGGCCAAACCGCCTGCGGCATGGCGCCCGCCGGCGCGGCATTGCACAAGATCCCATCCACATTGCCGCTCAAGCTTTTTCTTGGCGATGCCGTACCCTTACAGGCTGACCGCATCTCCGCTGGGCTGGCCGAAATGAGGATTGCGAGGCCGGGTGCCCCTGCTCTGGTGCTTGCAGGGGCAGACGACGACTCTGCTCTGCGCTATATTTGGCCAGCAGACATTAGGAAAACACGCGTTGCAGATCATCGCAGGTTCGTGGTATGTTCCCCCTTCGAGTCAGCATGGTGGAGAGTGAAAGATTTGCATAGCGAGGTGTCGTTGCGTTGCGTGCGAGGGTCTCGGAAGTCGAGACAATCGCCCACGTGCTCGCGATATGCCGCGGCTCCACCCCCCTTCCAATCAGCCGGGTGGGTTCCGTACCATCAGAACACCACCCATCTCAGCCCCATCGTGCCTATTTCCAGGCAAGAAAATCCAAACGCACATACCAGCGCAAAATTGCGCGCTTGACATGACTTTCAACCCTGGTTTCTCAATCCCGGTACTGCGTGCCTAGGGCCGAGGTCCTCGTTCCAGGGGATCGGCCCTTTTCCCAGGGTTCGGGCACACGCACATAGAAAGAGAGGGCGGGATACGAGTTGCACCTCAAGGATTTTCATGCCATGACTTATTGTCACCTTCCGGCCGGTTCCGAATTCACTTTCTGGTTTGGGCTATTCATTTAAACTTTTTTCTTGAGATGATTAACACAGGGCTGAAATTTTGTTTTCCCTTCCCTTGCCTGGACTCTCTGCCTGGTTCACCAAACTTGATGCGTCAACCTCGGTAAATTGGCCACTCACAGCGACCCCTTTTCTGTGGCTGCAATATCGAACTGCACTATAACAGAGAACTGCCTTTCGACAGGTTTTCTAAACACTCCAGCTGATGGGGCAGTGACCAAGGTCTGAGCCAGGTAGGCCGTCGCCTGTCAGATTTCTTTCTTATTTTCGATTGGGTACAGCTCAGCAGATGAAGCTTTGGTCAAGCAAAATAGTAGCAGTTTGACAATAATTATTTAGATTCCCTCAAAATTTGCGATCCTTAACCTTATCTTAAGAAGAAAAGTTATCGTATGCAAAGAAAACTTGTAAATGCAAACAAAAACAAATCAACGGAACAGCCGCATTCCTTAATGTATGCATATCCCACAACCTTAGGCCCTTACCCAGTTGCTTCGTGGGATGGCTTGCTCCCATATATGTCCACTCTGATCTTACTAACATGCTTCTGCCAGCCAAGATAACCTGCCCTTGCCGTGATTTCGATTGTGCTCCCGTGAGTGATTCTGTCCATGCATTTCTTTATCTCCGCTGAAACCCCCGTCCGATCCCAGATATTGGTATGGGACCTCCAGGTTGGTGAAGCATGCAGATTTGATATGTGGATAGTGTCCGTGGAACGAATCGGCGACATCAATCGCTCCCTGCTGTCGACTCCAATTCTATCCGGCAAGCTTACCATAAAGTCGAAGAAGGTTTGGGAATTACTGTAGGTGCCGTGATCATATTGGACATCACTCCACCCTTGGTCGAGGGACACGGTCTTGAAAACAATAGTCTTGACCGGGAGGACGATATCTCCGGGGACGGTTAGACGAAGATGCGGCTCGATGGGAGACTCCCGGGTGATAATGAGCGGTGGCTGCCAGGACCTTTCCTCAAAAGTGTTCTCTCCTTGGGCATTGGGTTGCCAATTTAGCCGGTCTTCAAACAAAGCCCGGCACAAGAGGTCAAACCACGGTCTGTCTGAGAATATTGCAACTTCCATTTGGGTTTGGCTCCATGGATAATGTGAGACGGCTCCGTTCTCAAGCAGGACGGTGATGACATTTTCGTCGCCAATATCTAGTGCCAAGTCAAGTGCTCTCTTTCCGTGGCGGGATATCTCGTTGACGTCTAGCCCTTTCTGGATCATTGAATTTATGAGCTCCGTAGATCCCGATCGCACCAAAGAACGGATAATCATTTTGCTCCAATGTCCCGGTCCTCGGAAAGCTTCAATCAAGACATCTATGGTTGCAAATGATCGGCAGTGTACCGCAAAGTCCCAAGGCGTTTCGTGATCTGAGGTCATCGCGTACATGTCCGCGCCCTTTGCTAGCAGGAGTGCTGCTATCTTTGGGTTATCATGCCAGGCTGCCTCGTGCAGGGGAGTCTGCAGACGAATCCACGTCACATCACTTTCATACACGGGATCGGTTGCGAATGGCGCGTTGACATCTGCTCCATGTTCAATGAGAAGCCTGCAAATCTCAAGGCTGCCGCCGGTTCCAGCTGCCCGGTGCAGAGCTTTGACGAGATACCCAGAAGTTCCGTTGACGTCTGCCCCTCCTGCTATCAAAAGCTCGACAGCATGGGCTTTGCCGAACATGGCAGCGGTCCAGAGTGGCGAGGGCATAGGGCCTTCTATCTTCGTTTCTTAAAGACCAGACGCTTGTAGATCCGGGGTGAATTCCTGCAAATCGAATACGACTGCGACATGAGTACCATTAATACTCCCTGGAAGGGATGCACCGTGTTCCTTCTCGATTATCTCCTTGATGAGAAAATCAGAGAACCTGTGGGGAGGCTTCAGGTACTCAAGGGCTCGCGGTCTAATCCCAGTGCCCAGGTCATCCGATTCGGAAAAATGATGGCCCCAATTTGTGGCTGCATACTCGAGCAAGGGATACTGACGAAGAGTATTGCCAGCATCGGCCCTCGTCACGGCAGCCTGAGTTTTGAAGGCATCGAAAGAGACGTACGTTAGCAGTACCGATGTCATGTGACTCGAGATGCCTGGGAAACTTTTTGTTTGCGTCTCCTTGAGATACTCATCAGTCGTGTGATGAGCGAGGCGTACAACACAGCTTATTGGGTCGACAATTAGGAGCCCAGCACATATCGATGTGATTTCGTCCAGGAGTTCGTTGTCAGCGTCATAGTCCTTGTCTTCAAGGGTGACAGCGAGAGCATGGATGAGCTCATCAACAGCCAACGGCCTCTTCGCGAAGGATACCCAGTAGAGAACCTTGAGAGCGTCCTCTGTGTGGGGAACATCGGCCGCTATCCGGTTTAAGGCGTCGTCGTACATGGTCTGTAGACCGCTTGGAAGAGTCTTTAATGCATTCTTGAAATGGCTAACTCGGGTCTGGTTGGACAGACTATCCATGTACAATCGTGCGAGGAGAAACATCTTGTCGCACTTCGGGATGACCTCCTTCAGGACATCTGCTTCCATTGCGGCATATTTCTGCTTGACCTTTTGAAAGGGGGTTTCTTGAATTCGAGCCGTAATGTACGTAACCAGATCGTCATTTTGGGCGTCAATCTGAATCTCTGGGTCCTTGTCAAATATTTGAGCAATGCTATCGAGCTTTCGGGAAGTGACCATCAAATTGCAATGGCTCTTTGACTGCAACGATTTTAGCGAGGAAATCAGCTCTTGTTGCGAGGCCTCCGGAAACTCGTCCAAGGCGTCGACCAGGAAAAAGATGCGCGAGGATTTCTGCATTTCGGCCTCAACGATCTCGAGCAATCTGCCGGTTCGGACCTCGCCACGCTGCTTCTGACCGGAATCCATGTCGGTCCACAGTTTTGTCGCCGGAGAACTATGTTCGGCACTCGGGTCGATGAGTTGTCGCCAAAGTCCCATAATCAGATTTTGAACATTTTGAGTCGCTGCTTCCTTGTACTCGCAGTAGGCGCAAGCTACGTTGACGGCTGGACCACTCCGAAAACGCTGCCGCAGCCATTCGACTGCAATGGATCTGTGGTATCGTTAGCCGGGCAGCCAAATTTGATTTCATCACAGGGTCTTCGCACGTGAGCACTGTTTTGCCAGCTCCTGCTGCAAGTCGACAAGTTAGCACTGCAAACCATTAGAACTTCGGAGCATATTCCCTCACGAATTCCAGGACACCACAAAACAGCTCCTGGTGATGACACCCAAGATTTGAAGACTGAGTGATCGAATAGCCATTTTCCAGCTCCAGGCTGTGCAGCTCTGTAGAGTCGCTCTTGAACCTTCAGAAAATCCAATGGCGAGAGCCAATTTGTTATCGCACATGTACTTTTGCCTTTTAGTCCCCTGTCAGCACTTCTGAAAATTTGACAAGCCCGTCAAGGAGTCTAAATGTGATTTAGCTTACTTGCTTTTACGGCCTGAAGGTCTTCAACCGCCGCATGGGTTTTCTCTATTCTCTGACTAGTCTTCACAGCCAGGGCCCTGCAGTAGATTGTCAACATGACTTTTCAAACAATAATATCTGCCAGTTGTTTCTTCCTACAAGTTATTTCCACTGATGGCCAAGTCGATATCCTGTTTCACCCTAGCCACCTTGTCAAGAATGCGAACGACATCCTTTTTGTCTTTGAACCAGAAGACGGAGGATACAGCCTGCTTAACTCTTGAATTTGAGGCCTGTTCCAACTTCTTACAGAGATTATCAAGCTCTTCTGTCAATTGTTGGATTGCCTGATCTGAAAATCCCAAAGCCCATGTATCCGATCCAGCGAAAACTGGACCATCTAAGGAGGCTTTGAATTCTAGGATCCTGGACAGAAGGCTGGCGACTTCCTGACGGACCTTTGTTCTTTCTGAAGAGGCTTCGTGGACTTCTACCAGTAGTGCGATGGTCTTACAAGCTACCTGCGGGAGTGCCAGAACGAGTCCTGCAACGTCCATCATGGCTTGTGTGCTGGATTGTCCCCAGTCATTCCACGGATGCAGAAGCTTTCATGGAGATAGCTCACCCGTCACACGCTGGGTTTCGATAAATTGGCCACATTTTACCCTGCCAGCTGTCAACTACCTGAGTGCGAAAAGCGACACAGTTCGCATGACGCCTTACCAGGCAGCGAGTAGACGAATAATAGCTCAGAATCTTTTAAGTCAGCGCTATATGCGCTTGTGTACAAGAGCAGCAGTCGACAGGTTTCGTGGGCCAATAGCGGTTGCAATCATCACACCCACCTGAAATAATCCCGGCCTGCAGAGTCACCGTGTCTTGTGAGATATCACAGCAGAAATCAAGATTGGGGAAAGGATGGGAACAGTGACATACGAGGTAGGATCATAAAATCTGATATTCCATTTGCTAGAACAGTCTCTTATCCTAAATGAGGACGGCAGAACTTGTGCCATTTTCCTTCAAAGGACCTCTTTTGCAACCCCTCCTCGACTGAAGAACAAAGCCCCCCCTGATTGGTAGCTACTAATGCATAAGCTCATTTCGAACAGAATCCTATCGTAAGGATGGTTCATAATGACAAGAAAGAAGAAAGGAAAGGGAAGAAAATTACACAAAAGCCACTATCAAACTGTTTTTACTTTACCAACCCACCCTCGTGAAGCCGTTACCCATCTGCCTTATTTGAGCCTTAGAGTCTCAGTGTCAATGGGCATATAAATTTACCACTGCATGAACAAGGTCGGGGTGGAAGATTTATAAGACTGTCTTTGAATAACTTCGGAATACACGATCTTATGGAAACTTGAGCTGGACTTGCTAGAGAAGCACTGGGGCCGCACCGGACACATTCTACAGCCGAGCTGAGTCAACGTTCTCCAGTTCCAATGCTGCGCTTGTCCAGGCATCACCGACTGCATGGAAGCGAAATGCGAGCCGGGTGTTCTGGCGGTTGTCGGGGCGTTTGAGTGGTTCGTTTCGGCAGGGTCCACAGAGCCCCATCCAAGCACGCAGGATGTCTGCCGGAGTTATCTTACTATTCATCCCTGACAACGACTCGTTCCCCCAGAATTGGGCCATAAAAGTGGTCTGGAATATGGGATAAGCCCGGAGCTATTCCCACATACCGATCTTTATAGTCTTGGTGCAGTACCGTCGCATGCCTAATTTCATCAGCGGTATGTACGCCTTCCCAAGCCGCGTATGTCCCACTCACGGCAAACGAGCCACGTATACACTGCTCAAATGAACGACAAGCAGCTCAAAAACAGCTTGTTTTGATAAGCTGCTCAGAAAATAAGCCGCTCGAATGGTTTTTGGGACGGCTTAAAGCAGAAGGAGCTGTGAGCAAACGGAAGGCGCGGCTTGTGAGGAAGGAGCGGAGCATATGCGGCTCCTGCACCCCATAATCCGATGGGACTGTGTTTCCTCATCCGGGATCCACTGCACTTCAGCGAATTCATGACAGATGACATCGTGGGCCCCTGGATTCTCAACTCTTGATACCAATCTTCAAGCATGAACGAGTTCTGAGCTCCTGACGCCAAATTTCTCAGCTTGCAAACCGGCGTTCGTGTCTGTCAGGGGCCGTCAACGGCGACACCGGATTCCAGTCTCGTGCGGGTGTGCAAGCACGAGCCGAACATGTTGCTGGGCCTGGCAAGGCGGCGGCACCCTTCGAATACGGTATTGATTGCTGTGGCTGTTTTTCTGTTCTTCGTCTTGCAACGAACACCCAACTTTGGTTCGGATGCACCAACTCTGCCGAAATATCACGAGCCGCTTCAACTCAAGGCGTCTTTGGTTGACTGGGCTGGTGCCCATCTCTTTTTCCCATCAGAGTCCTTAACTCCACTGCCAACAGGTCAACCAAAGACTCTACCTCAAGTGCAGGCGGCACCGAAATTATTCCAAGATACCAAGGAGACGCGGGAACGCAGAGCGGCAGTCAAGGGTATGTTTTCGCGGTCATGGAACGCTTATAAGCAGCAGGCCTGGACTTGGGATGAGGTTCGTCCGGTGACCGGGGGTGGAAAGAACACGTTTGGCGGGTGGGCAGCCACGTTGGTTGACAGTCTGGATACGCTTTGGATCATGGGGTGCGTAGGTTTCGTTTTTTCTTTTTCAACATCTGCAGACATAGCTAACTGTCAGACCCCACGGGCTATAGCCTATATGACGACTTCTATCAAGCAGCACAGGTTGCAGTCGAGCTAGACTGGGCGAATACCACGGAGACTGCCGCCAACCTGTTCGAGACCACTATTAGACACCTGGGTGGTCTTCTCAGCGCGTATGATCTCAGTGGGGAGAATGCTTTGCTGCTGAAGGCTATAGAGTTGGGTGATATGCTGTACATGGCTTTCGATACCCCAAACGGCATGCCAGGTAAGACCTGTGGATCCAAGCATATAACGGGAGTGCTAGTTCTCTGGGATTGGAAATCGTCTTTTCATAGCACAGGATCTCTCACATGGATGATCTTTTAAACTAACTTCTCGATCAATTGACAGGATTTTGGATCGACTGGAACAATGCCCGAACCGGACAACAAGTGGCCGGCACCTTTGATCCCAGCGCATCACCATCCTCTCTGTGCCTGGAATTCACTAGGCTGGCACAAATTACGCGAGAGGATAAGTATTGGAGCGTTGTCGACCGGGTCCGCGAGTTCCTATACCGAACCCAGGACGAGTCTCTCCTGCCTGGGATGTGGCCTAGGCAGATCAACTTCCAACAGCAGACGGTCAACAGCGACAACCGGTTCACCCTCGGAGCACTGGCTGACTCGTTGTATGAGTATCTCCCAAAGATGTATATCCTCACTGGTGGATTAGCGGAGACGTATGAAACTATGTATCGCGAAGCTATTGAGTGGCCTCTCATGCTATCGAAGTAATACACGCGCTGAACAAAATTGCTATCAGTGGACACTGTAACCCAACACATCCTCTTCCGGCCCATGCTCCCTTCGCAAAAAGATATCCTCTTCTCAGGCGACGTCTTCGTTCGCGACGATGGCCACGTCGACCGCGACTTCGAAACACAGCATCTCGGCTGCTTCACCGGCGGCATGTTCCTACTAGGCGGACAAACCTTCGGCATCGCCGACCACGTCCGCACAGGTGAGAAACTCGCCCGCGGGTGCGCATGGGCGTACGGCGCGTTCCCGACAGGATTGATGCCCGAGATCTCTGGATTCGTTGCTTGTCCTGGCTTGGAGCCGTGCGAATGGGATGAGACGAGGTGGGCTGTGGAAGGAGACCAGCAGTTGGCGAAGGGGTTCAGGCATGCGAGGGATCCGAGGTACATACTGCGCCCGGAGGCAATTGAGAGTGTATTTTATTTATACAGGGTAACGGGTCACGAAGAGCTGAGAAATGTTGCATGGGAAATGTTTCAGAGTGTGGTGAAGGCTACAGAGACAGGGCTGGCGTATTCCGCCATCAAAGATGTCAGGGTGATGGATGAGACGGAGAAGGAGGACTCTATGGAGGTTCGTTGCCTTTCCGGCGGATTTGCTTTGATTGATGAGACTCACAAGCTAACATGGTGCATATAGAGCTTTTGGACGGCCGAGACACTTAAGTATTTTTACTTGATTTTCTCGCCGCCTGACCTGATCAGCCTCGACGATTGGGTTTTGAACACTGAGGCACATCCGTTCCGGCGGCCGAGGCCAGAGAGATAAGCCTGTCTGAATCTCAATATGAAACCTTTGAGTGTCACTTTCTGTTTATCTCCGATTTCTAGCAAGCCTCATTGTTCAGGTCACCCGGATCTCTCTGATCTAGATCATCTGGCGACAGAAGTGAGGTTTGCAGGTGATTGCCGAAGAAAATTTCACAATCCGGTGCTGCACCATATCGAGCATTTCTAACATGGTGCATGATTTCTTCGAGTCGCATGAGACTTTCTGTCAGCAGGTCTAAAGTCCGGTTCGATTGAATACTCCCTGGGTTTCGTTGGCCTGTGCTTCATGTGCGACATGCAACAGAATGGCAAGCCGGCATCCAGAAAGTTCTGCCGCCGAGGTGAGCCCATACACTTGAGTGCGCGCAAGTCGCGCCGAATACCCACCGCGTTGGTAACGATCTCCTGCCGATCACAAATCCTTCGCCCACTAAAAGTTACCCGACCACAGTAAGGATTTAGGTCATTTTTGAAATAAGATCTGTCGATACAACTACATCGCCTGACCTCTTTTGAGTCCACTCCGTCTTACCTAACTAGAGGTATTCGGGTAGAGAGTAGGAAGTTCTTCTTTGACAGGCAGCAAGAATTATTCTTTACTGCCTAATCACGACCAAGATTGATCTTCTCCAACATTCATACGACGGGCCCTCGGTAGTTCTGTGGAAATTCATCACCCGGGGACTCCAACTGCAACGATGACGCCCCCTCAGCTTGACTCGATTATCGAGAACCCTATCTTCATCCGCCCAGAGCATGTGGCAGCAGAGCCCACCAAGCTAATCGCCAAGAAGCGTGGCATGTCGTTTTCCGGAGGCGACATCACCGTGTGGAGTAAAGACTCCGAGGCCGACGCGGAGTCTCATGATGATAATGACAAGCCCCCGCCGTCGTACATTTGCAAGGGCAAAGCAGCCTCATGGACGCAGAAACGTACCGTGTCAGACGCTGCAGGCCTTGCCCTGTTCGAGATATGCCGCAAGTCGACCGGGGTAACGTGGTTCGCCCGTGTGCCCGGCCACGACAGCCAGGCGGGCGACAGACCGCTCGTCACACTGGCCATGGAGAGGAGCGCCTTCCATGACAAGTTCGACGTTTGTGTCCACGGCGGAAACGGCAACGACTTGCGGCTGAAAGTCCGCGGCCAGGACACCTGGAAGCTGCGCACGAACGTGTACTGGGGCGACAAGGTGGTAATGACGACGAAGAGGCAGGGGAAGCTTGATATTTACGTCCCCGGGAAAAGCCTTGAGTGGGAAGTTGACGTTGCCCGAGGCTTTGACACGTCATTGGTGAGATCACGCAATTGATATAGAGCCGACGGAACGCATAATTACAAGTGTATGAGCTAATTGTTTCTTTTCCTGGGCACTAGGCGACAGCTATCACGATTGTACTGATCGCAAATCTCTTTGATAGTAGCATGAAGAAATCCTCGTCTACTGGAGTGGCCACCGGGGCTGCGATTGGTGCTGGCGCTGGCGCAGCTGGAGGGGCGGCGGCGTAGGCGAGGCAGTCATGGGGGAGAGGAAAACGTGCGGCTAGCTCTAGAGGGACACAAAGGTTGTCATCAGGTATATGGGTCGCATGTAATGGTATGTCGCGCGGCAGAGGCTGAGGTACCTATGTAGAGAAGGCTTAAAATGAGTGTCGGGGCCTGTAGGTTGGAGGCATTACACCGCGCCGTATATCTACCTAGATAACTACTAGCAATGCGACTACGCGAAACGTTCGCGCCACCAAATTGTCTCCATCAAATTTCCACAGATTCCGAATCAAATCAGAGACAGCTGTCAACGGAATGAATATGGTATATAGTGAATGCGGTGGTAGATCACGTGGGTATTTCAGGTGCCGGGGCCAAGAATCAGTAGTTAGGGTGGGCGACCAGAAAGGTGCCGACGTACTGATGGTCGACAAGGAGCATGTCTTAATATAACTCCTCGCTGCTTTAGGAGTCTCATTTCTCTTAATTTACTCGCGAGTCCACCTGGAACCCTCCTTATTCGGCACTTACCATCGCACATATTTCCACAGCCACAGCAAGATGCCGCGAGGCAGTCACCCTCCTAATGCTGTAGCACATACTGGCGTCCAGTGTCTCCAGAAATGTAGATGCAATCGAATTTGGCCATCTTCATACATGCGGGATATCTGCTGAAGTATATTTCAGTTCAGCGAGTGAAGCTTGTAGAGGTTTGGAATTTCCTTGCTTGTCAAGCACGAATTAGGCTAATTAGCGGAGTGACATTGGAACTTGGGGGCAACACGATCCCCGTTAAATCGGTTTAGGTCGCAGATGCCGATTTCGTTTCGATTCAATTTGGATAAAAAAGCGACAACCGAGATGTTGCAGCCACAACACTTAGCGTGCAAACACAGTCGTCGGTAGTTGAAAGCGAACCCCATGTCATTCCGGTAGAGCAGAGGATGGGAGCACCGTGTTTTGGGGCTTGCATTTTGCACGGCTCTGCAGAAATCAAACCGCAAGTAGTTCTCTGATGTGCCATTCCGTTACGCAGATGGTTGAAATAGCAATGTCGTTAAGGATATGTCATCGGCTCCGAAAAGATGATCCGGGCTTGTCTACCGCGGGGCCTTATATTGACAAGACCCTCCCTGTCCACAGCATCCACTCTTTTGTTTTCAAAGATACCCTCTTTTATTTCTTCTTGGTGATATCACCAGCTCTCAGTCAAGATGTTCCGTCTGCCCTGCCTCTTACTTGCGCTCGCTGCGACTAGCCTCGCTGCCGTCCCCGAGGGCTATCGCAAGGTCATCATACCTACCAAAGTGAATACCCAATATGTGGTGGTGCCTTCAACAGCTACGAATGGCAGCATGCTCGTGGTGTAGGTATAGCTTCTTCTAGGAAAAGGCTTGGCTGTATTTAGCTGACCGTCATTCTTCTTGACATACAGTCAGTCCAAGACAGGTGCTGCTGGTCAACAGTGGCATCTACAAAGCGGAAACAGCACCATCATCTATGCACCAGACACCACACTCTGTCTCGATGCAGGTGCCCAAAGTGAGTTCTATCTTCATTTCACTTTATCTACCATGGAAATTGTATCATCCCACACGCCTGCTGACAATTTCTTCCAACGCGCCACAGGCAACTGGAAAGACATGTCAAGGGTCTATCTCGTGACCTGCGCCCCCAACTCTGCCTCACAGCAATGGGACGTCATGGCCGATGGGCGTATTGCTCTTGTTGCATCCAAGCCCCAGGAATGCTTGGACCTCCAGTACATGCGTGCCACGCCGAACAACCCCGTTGGCCTCTACAGCTGTGCAGGCTTGGGAGGGATCGGCGCGGCGGATGACGGGCTCAACTGGCCACTTGTGAATGCAACGGGCTAGGAAGCCTCTCGAGAAACATGACGATTTGTCATTGGTTGCGCAAACATCTGGAAGCAAGAAAGGAGACATGCCTACGAAGACCCGAATGGTTTCCGCTATGATGTATAGTTAGTTCCAGTCAGCATTTAGTAAACAGCAGTGGTCTGCCACTCAGATTGGAGTATTATCTCATCTATCCCATCCGCATCATCTCAATAGAAATTCCTGTGTTCTATCAGTGAACGCTTTGATATTCATCGCCTCACCATCCATCAAGCCATATACGAAGCATTCACCCACCAGCCGCCACTCATCTGAACCGTCCGTCCTTCTGAGCACCACAGGCACACTACAGCCATGAAGAATGCATATGCAGTCACCGGGTCGTGCCTCCCTAGGACCAAGTCCGTACAAAGGGCGGTCCAGGTCATCCAACCTGGCCGTCTTGATGAAAGTCCGGTCCCAGATGACACTCTGCACACGTTGAATATACTCGAGCGCCGTGGCCGGATGCTGGTCCTTCTGGATGACGTCGTAGGTAATATCCTGAGCCTCACTGTAATCCAGCCAATATTGACACGCACGATGATACCAAGTCGGCGTCGGCGTGCCACCCGGACCACGGTCGGCCACGAGCGTGCGCCACAGGTGGTCCGGGACGAAGGCGGCGCCGGGCCGCCACCCGGAGAGCTCGATCCACTCCATGTGCACCGTCCCTGCAGCGGCGCGGAAGCCCAGGTCCCTCACGGGGGCGATCTGGAACCCGCTGGCCACCATGCTGCCGTCCATGCGTATCCGGCCGTCGGGCGCGGGCGCGCCGAACATGGGCGTGGCGACGGACCCGCGGGCGGCGGAGTAGTAGTTGCGGTGCGGGTAGCCGACCAGCACGTCGCCGCTCTTGCGGCCGTAGATGTTCTCGCGGCGGTGGCCGAAGGGGAGCTTGTTGACCTGGCACACCCAGGACGGCGCGGGGGCCTCCCTTGGGGGAAGGGTGGGCGCCCAGGGACGGCATATGATGTCCAGCGTCTTTGACTTGCGGACGCAGTACTCGACAAAGTCTTGGTACACCACGTTGTTTGACTTGCTGTAGTCAATGCCGACGAAATTTCTCGAATCGCTAGACAGGCCTACCAGTGAATAGACAACGTCCTTGGGAATGTTAGACTGGAGCGCGGGGAGAAATGATACCAGGGTCTCCAGGTCACAAGCCGAAATCAAAGTCCCGTCGTCTTGGCGGCGGAACAAGTCTCGAGCGGTTTCGATGAGCGAGTAAGCCTCGAGGGCACGCAGGTCTACCAAGTTTCCAAAGGTATGTCGAAGACTGATCGTGGCAGGTCAGTTGATGGGTCCTGGGTGACGGCTGAGGTCCAAGACAACATTGAGTGCTCACTCACTTGTTCGTGATCTCCTTTCGTTTAAGCCTGTACTGAACCTCGTCGAAACAGGTTCCGAGTAGTACGACCACGTCAGAGAAGTCGGTCCAGCCTATACGCTGGCTTCCGCAGCAGATAATAGCCTCCCTTGCTAGGATTATCTCTTGGAACACCCAGCGGCGACTGAACCAGGGCCGTCTCATAAAGGCCACGAGGAAGTCCCACTGTCTTGGTGTATCGTCGTTCTTCACGAGGGCATCGAAGTTCTCCAGGTCTCTGACTTTCCCAACGAAGTCCACCACACTTCTGCTGCTCTCATCCTCGTCTCCTAGCCACACAATCACGCTCGACGCATGCTTGAATATGTCCGGCAAAATAGACATCATGAATCCTCTTTCTTCAGCAGCATCTTGGCGGATGCAGATCAGGTCAACCCACAATACAACCTTCATTGTAGGGTGACGGACGTGTCGAAGGGCACTTTCGAGTGTGGGTGGGACGGCTATTGCGTGTCTTGCGTGGAGGCTCTCGTCGACGATGTATATGCTGGACGTCCATGCATCGCGGCCCCAGGTCCAAGAAAGAGCCGTGTAGCTCCCGTAGTGCGATCCCTCGCTGTATGGCAGGAAGTCCTCGTTCTGCAGACGGGCGATGATAGGCTCATTCACGTCCCTGCTGGAGAGAATATGTAGAGTTCGGATCTCGCCTGTGCGGATGTGCGAGTACTGCTCAGAGCAAGGTACGTCCTTGCTGAGTACTAGTCTTTCTTCGAAGGCAGAGTAATCTGGAGCAGTTGGATACAGATCATCGAGCCAGTCCCTTTCACCCCCAGCTTCAGCCACTTCGTATTGGGACTCTGGTGTTCTAGCCACGGATGGCGTGATGGGGTCTTCCCTCACCCCGGAAATGGAAGTGCTGTTTGAGATTGGCTTCGCAAGCTTGAGAGTGTGGTCACTTGGTTCAGCCACGATTCGAGGCCTTCCGCGTGTCGCTGGTTCCGTTGACTCGGCTCGAGGGCGACTTGGGACCTGTAGAGTATGGTTCGCTGGCTCAACTGGCGCAGAAGTTGATCTCTCAAAGGCTGCATCATTATTATCAGCCTCCTCCGGCGCGTCGGCCATTGTACTGCAGCGTCTTAGCATCCCAACTGTTTTCATCTGCGTGAAAAGGTAGTGTACTGACTCTTGTGCTGGCTCTGAATCATCGAACTCCTGAACTTCACCTATAATGATTTTGTCGACCTTGTTTGCAAACGGTATGTGCCGAGGTGTTGAACGCGTCGTCTCCAGAGCTCTTTTTAGGTCTGTTCGATTAAGCTTCGCCGCGACCATCCTGCAGAGCGCATCTGCGAAGGTCGCCTTGTCTACTTCACGTCGCGACTTCAGAACGCTGACGAGAAACATGGTGAACGAGTGTTCTCCCCGGAGAGGAGCTACCCCTTCGAAGCCTGTGGCAACCATTGCCTCGACTGTGCTTGTGGCATGGGTGTACTCGGCTGCCGCGGCAGAATAGCAGCAGTCCAGCACGAAAAGAACATCCGACTGGCACTCGTCCAGAAAAAGCCCCTGGAGACTGCTCCAGTTAACCTTGGGGTTGTCGTCCTCGTCTTTGTGGCTCGGGTTATGGCTGCAAGTCTTCAGTTCCTCTGCGCGAGGTGGCAGTAATAGGGGGAGGGGGGCTCACCACAGCCAAATGTGGTTTTTGTCATCATTGTTTTCACCATGGCCCCCGTAATAGATGATCAGCAAGGTCCCTTTCTCATCATGGACGAGGAATTCCCGCAACCGCTTATTCAGCTCTCGGTAAGGCCTCCTCGACCGTTCGGAGGGAATTGAATAGTTGGCTGTGGTGAATCTGTACATTTTGAACTCTCTGGTGAGAGCTTCCCTCTGAAACTGAAATTCAGCTCGCTCACTCGTGTCATCTTCTTTAGATTTCTCCCAATCAATCATAAGTGCGTGGACTTTTCGATATGGGCTTTTCAGAGGAACCCGCCACTCATGGCCATGAAGTCGCGGCATGGCTGTCGTCTCCAGGTGAGAGACTCGCGCATGCCAGGACGTGTCTCAGGACCAAGTTAGACCAGGCCACAAGAAAGCAGTCGATGAAGTTGCACAGAGTCATCCGCGGTCTTGATGAAACAAGCTTTTCCGCACAAGTGCTTGAAATCCTGTCAGTTGAGAGCCAGGCAATCACCCTTGATCAAATATGCAAGCAGGCCAGGGTATCAGTACGGGCAAAGTCCGCACCATCACTTGATAGTCTGGTGCGGCTGAAAAAGGGGCTGGGGTATTGGTGCATGGGTACTGCAATATACCCCCGCCTTCCTTCGCAAGCCCTCATGCACTGAGCCACTTGGGGTTCAGCTCAATGCCCCGTGATATCAGGGTGTCATCAAGCGATAAGAGACACCAGTCCCAGCATGGGACCGCCTCTCTGACAGGAGCTCTCATAGGCTCTCAATACAGCTGAACCCGCAAGTGGCATCACCCTTCAGCGTGGGGTTGTTTAACTATATTCGTCGCATGACCTCGCGTCTAATCAAGAAGTCGGTGTTGGAAATCTCAGTTCTAGTTCCTACCAGTGTATCTCGATATCTCAATCTCGAGAGAACGGAATCTCCGATAGTTTGGCAGTGGCCATCCGACAGCATTTCAACGCTGAAACATGGGCGACAACCAGAACTGGGCGGAGCTCTACCGCGACTCAATGGCCAAGTGCCCATACGGCCACGCCTTCTTTGAGCCCCCCGTACTTGGTTCCAGCTTCGGTCTGGGCAAAGTCGGTTATATGGACGACCAAGGGCGCTGGCGACTGATAATCGACCTGGCGGACAAACAAGCCCTGACAGACGGGAAGTACACGGCATTCCGTTTTCCCGTGGAGGCGGACCCTGACGCTCAGACATGGGGTCCTGTGAAGTCGGCCAACGTGGCCGAAACCAAGATCACGCTGAGTGGCGAGGCCGATGCGGCGGCTCTTGGCATCCCGGCCGGCTTCGGAGGGGCCGTTGAGTACGAGTCCACCAGCAACTTCGGCGCCTTGCTTATGTCGGACGTGGACGTCGAAGTCACCGGATACGACGTCCGGGGCCCCTTTATCAAGTGGCTCGAGCACAACGCGGCCACGATCAGGAAGAACCACAAGACCGAGATCGGATCACGGACACTGCACGCTGTGATTGGAATTTACGCGTCGACTGACATCTTCATCCACGTCATGAACGATCGTGGGAGGAAGGTCGTGGTGGGGTTCAAAGCCGCTGCCCCTTGCGCAGCGAGTGCCGACCTTGGGACTACCTGGGCGAGATCGTCTGTTGGCTCGCACTGGAGGCAGGTGAACAAGAACGATGACAAGGTCAAGAAGGCCATGTTTGCTCTCAGCGTTACGCTGACTTTCGGTATCTTCGGCCGAAAGGAGGTTCGTGGCAGTTCCAGGACCAAATTGCTTGAACTTAAGGATCCGGAAGGGCAAGACTCTTGCGAAGCCTTGATTGACTCCATTGGACGATTTCCTGGGGAAATGGGTGCCTAGATCGTGACGATCTATGTGTTATCAGCTTTCCCGAGTTGACATATTTTACAACGAGGCGTTTCATGGCGCAGCTACACGAAGAGCCCTCATACATAGGGAGGATCAGACCGGTATTGGGATGAACGTATTTTGAAAGCCTCAAAATTGGATAAACGACTACTACGGGATTCTCGTTGTTGTCGTATTAATGGCTTTTGTGCCCTAGGTTCACTGTATCAGGATCTCCTGTCTACGATATATATCCTTGTGTGCACTGTTTGCGGTGCCTGTACACTTAGCTTCGATTGCATCCGCAGAGGACTTCATCAGGGGTCGCCAAAAGTCGATCAAGAATTCAACTACACGGGCCAGCACCTATCTCGGGCATTTTGCTGTACCTTTGTGGCACAGTGACTGGTATCTCTAGGGTTTCCGTGCGGCACGGGAATGCCTCTCTAAAGGTGGCTAACAATTTTGGCCTAGGCCACACCTCAGCAGCACTGCTACGAGGGGTCATGAGTTGAAATGACGAATACATCTAGCCAGAAGTACTTTGAGGCCGTCTTTCGAGCTTCCTCAAGGGGTCTGATCATGTCTTCACGGGCACCACAACCTTTGCCGTATATTCTGCCAGCGGACGAAGTGATCCCTGCCATGCGGCGCATCATCACTGACCGAGAAGCAGTCCGCAATTCGGTGGCCAGCAAGGTGACGCCAGAGGAGGCCACCTTCGCCAACGTCATCCAACCATGGCTCGAAGAGGAGGACGCAAACCAGGAGACGGAAGCTGTTATAGACATGTATCGCTACGGAGGTCCGGACCAAGAGAGCCGCGACGCAGCGGAGGAGGCGACGAGGTTAATGTCCGAGTGTACCGCTCGCCTCGCAATGAGACACGACCTCTTCCTACTTGTCAAAGCTGTGGCGGACAAGGATGAATGCCCCAACGAGGAGTGTAGGAAGGCTGTGCGGGATATATTGCGCGGGTTCACCAATGTTGGACATGGCAAGTTGAGTCCAGATCAGATCGACATCTTGCTTGACAACAGAAAGGAAATCGACCGACTTTGCCAGGAATTCAATCGGAATCTGAGAGAAAATACAGATGGGGCTTGGTTCACGCTCCGCAGAACTTGAGGGCGTGCCCACGGAGGAGATCATACGCCTTGCAGAAGACGGAAAGGACGGGGTTTTCATCAACTTTGGCAAACGCGCTGACCGGCTCCTTGTCCTACGACACGCCCGCAGCCCAGCCACCAGGAAGAAGCTATACCTCGGGAACGAGCAAAAGCTTTCAGAGAATGTCGCATTATTCAAGACAGTGGTGCTTTTACGCGACCGAAACGCCCGCCTGCTCCGTTTCAAGAGCCATGCCGAGTTCAAACTGCAGGAAAGAATCGCCACTTCGACTGAATGGGTGGACGACATGTTGCATAGTATGCGAGAGCAACTCCTGCCGATAGGTCAGGAAGTGATGGAACAGCTTAAGGCTACAAAAGGGACTCACCTGGTCAGAAGTAACCAGTCAGGAGACGACGAAATACTTCCTTGGGACTTCCACTACTACATGCGGTTGCTCGAGGAGGACAAAAAGGTAGATCATGAACTGATCTCAGAGTACTTCCCACTTCGCAATACCGTATTGAGAATGTTGGAACTGTTCGAATCTTGCCTTCAACTCCACTTTCTGCCCATAGCGCCTGATGACCTAGCCGGCACAACTTGGCATGAGGACGTGGAAGCTTGGTCGGTCTGGGACAAGAGACCGGGGCACACGGGTGAATTCATTGGGTATCTTTTCTCAGACACTCCACACAGGAATGGCAAGTACAGAGGGAACCAGAATGTCAACCTGCAAGCCGTAAATATAAACCTTCCTTGACTTACTGATGAGTGGGTAACCGACGTTGAGAGAACAGTCGTACGTCAAACCCGACGGTAGCAGAGTTTTCCCAGCGACTATCTTGATGTGCAACTTCTCCCCGTCGGCTGTCACAGGCTGTGCCCTACTCAAACACTCCGAAGTAGTAACTCTGTTCCATGGTATGATTTCCTAGCTCTTATCATCCGTCTTCGTCTTGTCTTCCTTCCCCTTGGCCCGTCGTTCTATGTTGACAATATCGACCTACTAGAGCTCGGTCATGGTATCCATGACCTGCTGTCTCGGACATTCCACACTCGATACCATGCTTGGAGAACACCAGCAGAGTTCGCTGAGGCTCTAAGCACAATGCTCGAGAATTGGTGTTGGAATAAGAGCGAGCTTAAAGAGATGAGTTGCCACTACACAGGGGTCGAGCCCGATTGCATCGAAAGATGGAAAGCTCAGCACCCGGGGATATCATTACCCGCTGAAAAGATTCCGGAGGAGCTCCTGGATCAGCTGATCGGGAGTGGCGATCTCAATAAGGCCTTGCGACTTGTTCAGCAGACGTGAGTCTGCTACACCTTTGCTACCGTGTTGGAGACTTTCTGAATGACCCGCAGCGCAGATTCAGCATTCGATATGATAATCCACAACCCTACTACTCGCGAGGATCTCTTACAACTCGATGGGACGAAGCTTTACAGCAGCATTAAAGAGGACTACACTCTGCTAAGAAATCCTGATCCGACCACATGGGGACCAGCGCACTGTCATTTTGGACACTTGATGTCCGGCTATGACGCTGGCTACTTCTCGTATCTTAGGTCAGTGTTTACCTCATGAGCCAACCAGAATTACCAGTGCTCAACAAAGCCAGTGCGCAAATATTTGCGGCAGACTTCTACGAAACAGCATTCGCTACCAACCCACGGAGTCAGCAGACCTGGGACCGATACAGACGGCTTGTTCTTGAGCCTGGTGGCAGCCGAGATGGGCTGAAGATGATGGAAGACTTTCTCGGTCATTCTCCAACACCAGACGATCTTGTTCGAGCCCTGAGACTTGGCTGATAACTCACCACCCGAGTTTGAGACGGTGGGTAGACCGTACTACTCTCTCGCGAAAAGGCTCGATGAGGGCTGAGCCAAGACTCGACCGCGTTTGCGACAATAAGAGTATAACCAGACAAAGCATAGTACACAGTATTCGTCCTTCTTAGCATTACTCTTGATTGAAAGAGCTTTTCTGCTCAGGCCCGGAGTTGGTAGCTATCAATACTGGCCAATTTATCATGTTCTCGAAGAGTTTACTCGAGGGGAGAAGACTAAGAAGGCTCAGATTTAGCTGTAGTCCAGGCTACAGCTTCGGGAGTACGCTCCGCATATGAGACATCCCATTTGGGAATACTTGGTGTTCCAGGGCCATTCGAGTCAATTAAAGAGAGCTTCGAGCGGGATGAAACGAACATAGCAGGAGGAGAAAAGAGGGGGCAGGACATCGGTCAGCTCATCCACCACTGGCAATGCTCATGCAGCAACGTGCATAGGTGGATTCTTTGCACAGCCAGCCGCTGACACGTTCCTCGGCCTCTGCCTAATCCCAGCTCCGCATTCAGCCGCTTGCTATTTTACACAGTGGGGCGGCTGACGCACCTTGCTTACGTGCTTCATACGAGCTTCATATCAACCCTTAGTTGCAAAGCCTGCTCTGTCTGTTGGTCTCAAAGCTCTTGATTACCAAAGACAAACGAGTTCTCACATAGAAAAAAACGGTGCTCCAAAGATGATTCTCATCGATACCTCCACACTGCAGCTTCGTCATGTCCCAGAGCTGCGGCAAACTCCATACGCAATCCTCTCGCACACGTGGGGCGATGACGAAGTCAACTACAAAGACTTCAGCAACCTTGAGGAAGCGAAGTCCAAATCGGGTTATGACAAGATAGTGAGGACATGCCAACTTGCAGCTGCGCGAGGCCTAGAATACGTATGGATCGATACGTGCTGCATCGACAAAAGCAGTAGTGCGGAGCTGACCGAGGCAATCAACTCTATGTTCCGATGGTATAGAGAGGCGGAAGTTTGCTTCGCCTATATCTCTGACTTGCCGGAACGCAATGGAGGCCCAGCCTTCAGATGGATCCAGAACGGTCACTATCGGTGGTTCACCCGCGGCTGGACTCTGCAGGAATTGGTAGCGGCCGACAAGGTCGAATTCTATGACGCGGGCTGGGAGTATCGCGGAGACAAGGCAGCTCTGATATCACAAATCTGCCGCATCACCGGAGTTGATGAACATATTCTGGAAGACAGCAAACTCCTGCCTGCAACTCCGGTGGCGAGGAAGATGTCCTGGGCAGCCGGTCGAGAGACAACGAGGACGGAGGACATGGCATACTGCCTCTTGGGTCTCTTTAATATTAACATGCCCCTGATCTATGGCGAGGGCGAACGAGCTTTTATCAGACTGCAAGAGGAAACAGCCAAGGAGACAAACGACCTGTCTTTGTTCGCCTGGACGTCAAAAGACGAGCACGAATCAGAGAGCTTCACCGGGTTGTTTGCCAGATCGCCGCAAGAATTCGCTCAATGCCGGAATATTTTGCGATGGTCTGATTTCCTGGCACCGCGCCCCGAGTTTACCATCACCAATAATGGCGTTCGTCTCGAGACAAGCTTGGGGCGGGAAGATGACAATGAATTCGTGCTGGACCTCGGTTGCTGCGACCTTACGGCCGGTGAGGAGCGACTGGGCATCTACCTGCACCAGGCGGGATCAAGATTTCTTCGAAAACGCCCAGATACATTCTACCGCACGCAAGATTCTCGCGTGTGGCTGGGAGAAAAGTCCACGATCTACGTACCAAAGCGCCTAAGTCCCGAGGAGAAGCAAAGATTACGTCTAGAGCTGGCAAGTCGTATCTACGTTCGGTTTTCTCCGGGGTATGAAATTGGCCACTTTTCTGTCGTTGGTACGGCGAGACATCCTGAGTCTCTTTGGAATATTCGTGAGCGATACTTTCTCACTATGGACTCTGTCGCATGGCAATCACCGATGACGGGCACGATTTATCCCCCCTTCATTGGCATTTATGGCTTCCGTATTCGGGACACATTTGGCAGACATATATGCAACTGCCTCCTGGTCTGCGGCATCTTTCAAACCCTCTCAGGCAATGAACTTCCGTGTGCCGTCGTCTACGCAGACGCAGATCCCAGCACGGAGGATGTCTTCATGGCGCTTGCAGAACACAAAGGAGAAGCCGACGGGAGTTTGCTGAGCTACATTCGGGACTGCCTCATTTCAGATTTCTCACCAAATGGAACCACGTTGCAGTGGGATGATATTTCCGACCGTGAAGTTCACGTCGTCCAGGACGGTCATGTTTTGCACATCCAGCCAGAAATTAGGCTGGTACATGGAATTTCCGTTTCGGACGAGGACAAAATGGGTTACAGCACATCTCCGAACGTTGAGCGAACAGATATAGACAACCGAGGCCAAGATATTGCGTCTTTGCCAGACAATTATTCCGGAGAAAGGCAATATGTTGTTTCAGTTTGCATAAGCCGAGATCAACTTCCCGAAGCCGAAGTCTACAACCTCTGAACTTACCGAACATCAGACAGGGTAAAGCCCATTGGAAATTCCCACCAGGCACTATATTTTACTATGTAGAAATGACATGTAAGAAGAAGACTTTGACTTTCATTATAATTATGCAGGATTGTGAGTGGAAAAGTAAAGGCCGCAATCAACACGATGCTTTTTCTTTTCTACGTATGTAATGAGGACTCGGTCTAGTTAACTTACAAGATTTAGTTACAGCTCGACCCGGTCTCAAACTCTTCTAAAGACTCAGAAGTGTGCGGTAGGGTTACTTACAACCTTCTCGCTGGGAAATACCAATATCAGTGGAATGCTCCCCTCCTAATTGCCTTCAGACACCTTCATAACACACTCCCCTCAGTCCAGTCCATATGACCCTTGCCCATCTTGTACACAAACTCGCACAGCTCTCCCTCACTTTAAACAAATTTCGGACCTCAGTACTACCGCAGCCCATCCCGTGACCCGCACGTCGACGACCGCAGCCTTATACTCTTACCCAAGCCTGTACACCGTTGCCCCTCCCGCACAAGCAGCTCATCCACCCGACCTATAGCTATCCTACCAGAACGAGCCTTGCGGGGTAGAAGAGGCATTTCTAACGGCGTGCTGCGTCATCGCCTTGACCTCGGGCTGGTCATAAAGACCGATATCCCTGCGCGAGTAGCCCGCGAACCGCTGGCCGTAGCCGGAAATACCACTGCAGTTGGGCATGAGGGATATGATTCCCGCGGCGACAAGCGCCGAGACAACGACATAGTCTGCAAATTGAGGAAATTGAACTGTGCCGTTGCGCAGAATTATCCTAGCATAACTCTTAGTTTGCGGGTCGTCTATTCAACCATACGAGACTTCCTTGGCTTGGAGACAGGGAACGCCGCAGACAGTCTTGAGGATCAAATAAGAACAACGACCTTAAGTGTTCAAGTACGTGGGGACCTCTTGCCCCTCCCCCCAGCCACTATCAGCTACCGGATACACAGTGGGATCCCTGGTCATGGTTGTTTGGCCGTTTGTGGACGTGTTATTGTTGGTTTGCATATATCCAGCAATGGCTTGTATGTAGAATAGGCAAGCTAAAGTGTAGTGTTACAAATAATGGAATAATATAGAACAAATGAACGCCTAATAGCCACGGTAGTGCTGGAATTGGAGACACGGCGTCCAAATTATTGAATCTGATAACAATTTATGACTCTTTGCATATCTCACAGTATAACTTAGTATATGACTAATTCATCAGTCATTTTGGGGTATTAGAAAACTATAAAACGTGGCAGCCTTCACCTATGAGTAGTCAGATAGAAGGCACAACTCACGTATTCCTCTTGAATGGTCAACAACGTCTCCATCCCCAGGAAATAGAAGCAACCTCCTCTTATCTTATCTCGTCATCGTGGCCGGTTGGAAAAGTTCTACAAGCAATAATGGCTTGTCCACGCACCAGGTGTGCCACAAGTGGTCGAGGACATTAGCTGGCTGTTTTTTTGTGAGATATATATGTTCGAAGGGTTAGCCGGCTTTGTATTTGCATGATTTGGCTGAACTAAAGCCGTTTCTCTATGACACAAAACACAGTTTTGAATTCTTCCGTACTGCTGCTTACCTGTCATCTATTCAATCAACAGCAGTTACAGCGATTGGGAAGTGAAAGTCATCAAGACAGGTTAGCATCAGCACAACATGCTTGGTATTACGTATTGCCTTCTGAATTGTTACTTGATCTTGTAGAGCTAACGGAGGGCAACCATACTCGGTGAAGATTCGATTGCGGCATTTACCTGTACAGCCTTCAACTACCTAGATATACAGTCGGTCATTTTTTGTTCTCTCCAAGGTTCAGTTCAGCTAATGAAAGTTTTTGAGGCTGAGCATAGAGTCAATCTGGCTTAGCCGAGCTCAGTCCTGTATATCTAGAGACCTTGTTAAATCATTTTGGAAATGCCTTGTCGGCAGTGGCAACTTCTCATACATATACAGTCATCAGCGCCAAAGAGATCAGTGGGTGCTACAGAGTGTGAGACTCCCAATGAGCACGCCACAGAGCTCATCGGCAATTTTGCAAGTCAACCATGCTCGGGGTTCATTGGTCGTATATTCACTTCAGAGGCCTGTCCTCTTGTTACTCAGGTCCTTAGCGAGTATCACTGAGGAACAAGTGAACTTGAAGAAATTTCAAATGGGGCTGTAGACTAATTGAGTAGTGTATTGCCCAGCCAGTCAAGAACTTCACTTCCAAGGATTCACTTGTCATGGCCCGCGAGGGACATATAAATCATGCATACTGATCACATGGGAAAGCTTTGCAGAGTGAATAACTGACTCCTTTAGTTTCTATCAACGATAAGTATATAAGAAATCGCATTGCCACATACTGTCCACTTACCTTTCTGTCTGTTCATCTAAATACCACTCTCAAGCATCTTCGTCAAGCAGACAACTACATCGACTCATCACAAGAAAGAAGCACTGAGTCCTTACCATCTTCAAAATGGCCAAGATCGCTCACCCCGTGGCCCACGAGCTTGGCATCACTAGACGCAAGCTCGAAGAGGCAAATCAGCAGCTGGCAGTGGCGAGGGCTGAGATCGAGATCCTGAGAGACGAAGTAGCAAGGCTTCGCCAGCATGTACCACCAGAGTTCAAGATGCGACCACGATTGTCTTCTCAATCTACACCGCCCTTACACCCCAAGCGCATCCAATCCTCTATCCCTCGATACGCCCAGCCAACACAAGCATCGGAACAACGGACTATGAAATCGACAACACAGCCTCAGAATCAGACGACCACGTTTGGAACTGTCACCTTGACCATTAAGTCAGCCCACCCGGCATGGAAATACCCGATGAATTGTACTAGGGCGCCGTCTCCGAACCAATATCAGTACCGAGACGGCTCTTTGGTCAAGGTGCCCACTGGCTATTTGAAGTCAACAGGGTCTTCAAGGGCAAAATTGTGTCCAAAAATCCCAAGACGTTCCGTCAAACCTGGAGAAACAACAAGGGGAACTCAAATGGAACGGCTTCCGCGACCATGGTGGGAGAAGGGTCCGCCGGTCATGGACAATGACAGCTGGGCGACCCATGAACAGGATGAGTTTCGCCGGCCATGTTCCCTGTGGTGGCTTCATAGCATGGACAGGTCGCCTCTCAGACTGTCAGATACCCAGTACAGGGATCTCATGGATCTGATCACCCTCTTGCCGGCGACCCGGCTGGAAGATGATGAGCTGCAGAAGACATCGATGAAACACATGCTTATCGACGATGGACAGCAGGCCAGTTTGCTCGTCCAAGGCAGGGAGCTGGCGCAAAGGTGTCTCTGGAACCTTGCGGAAGAGCGTATGCCGGGACAGAACCCCTGGACACGATGGCGACATGTCCGGTTCGAGTGGGGTGTGCTTTCCGGAAGCTGGGGAGGCGGCTCACCATACTACAGCTTACTGGGGTCCCGTGCAAGTCAACCGGAATCTGTCTGGAGCACAATTCAGAAGGTGATCACCCTCAGACACACGACATCACACTACAGCCCCGGCAGCAGCTTGTTTTCGCATCGACGAAGTGGACGAACATCTGAAGAATGTCCAGAAGATGGCCATCCAGCTCTACGATAAGACAGGAGCACTGCAGGCACGTAGATTGAGGGACGAGCTCCGACAGGCGGCACACGATACGTTCGACGAAATCACCACTTTGGGACCGTGAAACTCTCTGACCCGTATGAGAAGATATATCGCACTATAAACAGTGCAAGCAAGTTGGGGGATTCGGGGTATGTATTGCTTAAATAGGTTTAAGTTTACCTCCAAAGCTAAAAATTGCCTATTTAGGGCCCTTAAGGGCCAAACGCCCCTACCCGCACTATACAAACCCCCTTTTTCCAATGGCAAGACCCCAAGCCCAAATCATAACAACACCATCGCGAACACATACACTCCCCATCCCCAATTTGCTCTTACCAATAAACCAGGAAATGAATTAATATTAATCTAGGTTATAAGTTATTATATTTACTATATTAAAATAAAATAAAAACCTATGTTGCCATATTAGCCTTTATAAGTACCTGCTTTAAATTAGGTTTTTAATAATAATAAATGGATATTAATAACTATTCTCATCTTAGTTTTTCTTAAAAAAATAATTATAAAGGGTTATACCATTATAAAAGGCCGCAAAATCTTCCTTTAGGTTTTTCTTTACCATTACAGCCCCTTATTAACCCCTCTATAACTTTAAAACTATATTAAATACTGCATTAAGTTAGCAAATTTAATATAGCGTTTTTAGTTTATTATTAACTCTTTAATTAAAGCAGCATCCCTAAAAAGCTATAAGCTTGCCTATTCTTATCTATTTCATTATGCCTAGTGATAATTAAGATAATAATAAAATATTAAATGTAAACTTAAATAAAAGCTAAGCCATTCTTGCCATCCTTATCTTTTAATCCTAAAGTTCTATTTTTATTAACTATATAGTTAATTAATATATTTTTTTAGTTAATGCTTTAATTATCCTAATTATTATTATTATTATTTAAATTAAACTTCTCCCTAAGGTTGCTATTAATTAAGTTAACTATATTCTTTGCATTTAGGTTGTTTTATTAAAGCTAATTCACTTCTTTAGCATATTGCTAAGTTGCTATTATAAGGTCCTCCCTTAAGTAATGCATTTCTTGCATAATAATCTCCATTACTCGCTTTATCTCTTTAACTTAGCTTCCCCTTTATTTTAATTTATGTAAAGCCTTTCTTAAATTACCTTTTTAATTGGGATAATGCGGGGAAATACTTATTTCTGCCTTTTTCTTTATAGCTTTCTTATTTTAAGTTAATAGGGTTTTCTTTCTATAAGGCTTAATAATAATTAAATCTAAGTAGTTTTAAAGGAAAGATTTAATATTTAAATAATAACCCTTTTTATTAGCTTCCTAATTAAATTTTTAAGAAATGCTTAAAACGTTATCTTTAGCCATAATTAAATATAAGAGTTAAGGGCTTAGTAAGTTAAGGTTCCTCTTAATAGCTTACTAAAGGCTATTTAGAATTCCCTCTCCTTAAGCTTAAGCGATATGGTTTTTAATTCAATTCCTTAAAAAAGCATATAGCTTCTTCCTATTACCATTTTCCATAAAATAATAAAGAAAACCTTAATTTACTAAGCGATTTTTGCAATTTAAATTAATAATAAGTATATAATCCCTTAAGTCTTGAATTTCTTAGGTAATCTTTATTACTAAGTTAACCAAATCCATAAAGGTTTTTAACCGCTTAATATAATACTATAAAACCTAGTAAACTAAAAGTCTTATATTATTAATTACCTATAACCATTTTAGCTAATTAATTCCCTTATTACTTATTATTATTAAGGGCAAAGTATATAATAAAGTTTTAAATCTTAGTTTATAAGGCATTAAATATTTAATACTTTAGGCAAACCTTCGCTAACGCTTATTTCATGTGAAAATGTTAAGAGGAATTTATTTTAAATCCCTTGCATTTACGCCATTATCTTTTACAAATAACTTACTTATAACTTCAATTATAAACTAGCCATTTATATCTTTCCATTTAATTCTTTAATAAATAATGCAAGGATTCTAGGGATTATATTTTTAATAATCCTTTTGCTTTTCTTTAAATCTATTTTCCCCTTTAAGTAATCATTAATTTAAGACTTAATGCTTTTAATTAAACAAAGTTTCTTAAAACTTAATATTTTAACGGCTTACTTTATAAATAATCCACTTAAACTCCATATTTACTAAGCAACCCTCTCTATTAAATACCAAGCTTAAGTTAAGCTTAAGCAAATCCTTAGCACTTTATTTCTTTAAAAAGTTTGCAATTTAATCAAACTACCTCCCCCATCCATTAATAGCGGCTATTAAAGCAATACTTAGCAATGCATGCTTAGTTTTCTCCCATTATTAATATAAAGGCTAATAATTAAGCTTTATAGCCTAATTATATATATTTAGCAATAACTCCAACCAATCTTGCACTTATAGTAGGACATTTTTTAGCAATTAAGCCCATAATAATAACTTAAGGTAATTTTAAATATAAATTAATAAGTATGCCCGGCCTATCTTAAGTATCTTTAAAATGCTAAAGGGAACTACTCTTTATCCTTCCCAAGTATTAACCATAATATATCTTCTTTACTTAAGATATTAAGGCAAGTAATTAAGCCATTTTAAATTAAGTTTTATTCATATCTCCTCTTTCTTATTTATATGCCTTCCAGCAAAGCAAATAATGCCTCTTAATCAATACATCCTCGCCTTTTAAACCCTATCTTCTCCCTTATTAAAATTCTCTGCAAATTTAAGTCCTAAACTTCCATTATTATTATTAAGCGGGTTACCCTTATTATTTAAGCTATTTAGGTTAAGATCCTAAGCCGGCGTACTCCTTTGCCTAGCACTCTCATTACCCCATTTATCCCTAATAATCTCGCCTCCTTAGTTAGCAAAGCTAGCTAAAACATTAAAATTAAAGATGGAACTTCCCATAAGCAGAATCTTCTTTACTCCTTAATTAAACAATAATGCTGCCTCTTACATATCATCCCCTTCGTTTAGGTCCTTATCTTAAAGCTATATAACCAGGACATTATTTAGGTTTAATTCTCCCACCATTAACTCCATATATATATCCCAATCTTTACGCGGCATACTTTTCAATAGCCTTATCCAACGCTCTGCCTTATCATTATTAAAATTTATCATCATTATATTCCAATTATAAAGTTAATTATTAAGGTATAAAATAATATTTACAATTTATCTATCTTAGCCTACCACTTAGCGCTAAAATGCTTACCATTAATCCCAATCATATCCAAAATCTAAACCAATAATTAACTTATAATATCCCGCTACTCCCTCATAATACAAAATCTATATAATATAGTTTAAGTCCTAGCCTCCGCTTTCCTCTCCATTATCATATAAAGTAGCTAAGGGTTGGCCTTGCAAGCCATAGGGGTGTATTATGCCGATTTAAACGGTTTTATTTAAAAGCCTATAAGTTACCTTATTTATAAAAACCGCTGCCTAATTAATATAAAAATTATATTAAGCACCTATATCCTAAATAATATCAGCATCCTAGCTTAATTAAACATAAAACTTAAAAAGCTGAATTAAAATAAGGGCTTGCTCCCTAAACTTAAGGATTAAAGCTTAGTATATAGCAAAGAATAAATACCAATTCTTATAACCCAAAGTTAAGAGCAATTAATAACCCGCTAAAAATCACTTAATAAACCTCCCTATTATATTAAACTATTTATATACCTACTTAATTAAAAGGTTAAACATTCCCTATAGGCGCCCCTTAAACTTCTTCCTCCTTAAGATAATAAACTTAAAGATAAGGAATCTTTAGCTAATATTTCTTAAACTTTTTTAAATAATTTATTTAAACCCTTCTACTATATTGCAATTTTATATTTTATAAATAATCTTATTAATTAGGCCTAAATCTATATTATTTATTTCCAGCTTTAAATAGCTTGCTTTAACCTTAATTATAAATTTAGCCTAAATGCATGGTAAATTTAGGTTTGCTATATAGGCAATCTAAGCAAACTCCGCATTTATAAAAAACCTATTTAATAGCCCAACCTTAATTATTACCTCCTTTAATGCCACTTTCTATACTTTTATTAATTTTAAATCTTTAAAAATCTTCTTTAGGTAATAAGCGTACTAGCACTATTCCTTATCTTTTAACCTTAAGCATTTCTTCTTCTTTTAAGCAGGAGTTAAGGCTTAAATAAACTCCTTTAAAGCTGGAATGGGCTTATAAGTAAGCTTTATTAAGGGTATAGCTTGGGCTAAATCATTATAAACCTTGTATAGTATAGAATCTTATGCTTTTAGCCTGCTATTATTTTAAGCCTAAGCCTTTTTTAGCTTCTTTTAATATTAATTCTAAAGATATTATATAGCGGTAAAGTAAATTAAGCTTAGCATATGCAATCCTTATAACTAACATCCTACCTACGCCTAAAATTTATAATTTAAAGCATTCTTAATTAATTTAAGGTTTTGTATAGCTAAGGTAAAGTTAAGATATTAATTTTCATAACCTTTTTATAAAATAAGCTTAATATACTTAGGTTTATAAAAACTTCCCAACTTAATTACAATAAGCTTATGCTTAAACTTTATATATAAAAGCTTTGCTTTTCTTTATCCTTGTTAAAGTCCTCTAGCTTTACTAATTAAGCCTTCTTTCCGCTTAAGTTAGCTTATAAGCATAGTAATCTCCCCTCTTAAGCTTTCTTTTAATTTACGCTTAAAACCTTTATTAACTCTTTATTTAATCTTAAGGCCATTCTTTCTCCTTATATGCCTTTTAATATAAAAACTTTTAAGTAAGGGTATTAAGTTTATTAATATATAAAGTTATAGAAATTTAATAGCCAATCTTAATTTAAAATAAGGTTCTTAATTAGCATGCTTATTTAAAGCGCTTTTAATAGCTCCTTAGGCTTATAAATTAAGGCTTAGGGTATTACTTACTTATATGTATTATAATACCCTTAACGCATAAATCCTAGGTTCATTATACTCTTATAATAATGCCTTATATATCTAGGTATTAAAGTTATGTTATTATATAATAATTTAAAAAGATTTAAGAAAGGTTAATAAAACAAAAGGTTATAATAAAAGAAAGCAA